TATAATCCCTTTGAATTGTTCTCCACCCAAATCTTTGAGTTTAATGCATAATGTGACATGCTAGTATTTTATTGTTCAGTTGTCTCCCAATGGTCACCACACCACAATCGGATTCTTAAATTCATTAGTAAAAAAATACACTTGTGATGCCTTTGCTTATGCCGATTGCTGACATCACGTGCATCCACATGAACAGGAAGTGTTTAATTTGAAATTTCTAACACCTCCAATCTCATTCGATCGATGTGCGATCACCCTTTTTGACTTTGCCTATGTGCTGATGTAGATCTGTTCTACTGACATACCCGCAAACATTTTTGCTCTCTTTTCTTGCATCCTCTTTATCTTGTGCACTCCACTTCTTTGCCGCCATCTTTTTCGCTAAGCTTAATCACGTGGCGCCGGTACAATTTACGAGTAGATTAGCATTACCAGCAAACACGCGCAAATTAAATATAGTACTGTTAGGTTGTCAGTTGATCGAGAAACATGGATAAGATTAGCCGTTTGAGATAGTGTCGTCTAGCGTAAAGGTAGGGGATTGAGGGGATCATTACATTTTGTCGTACCCATAAAATACCTAATCCTATGCAACATAGCACTAGTAGCTATGATTGATGGTACAATTAGTGGATAAGGGTCTCAAGAGGGGCCACGCACCGATCGAGCATTTGCAATTATATATACACCTTCTACAATGTTCTAATTGGCCCAAAGCAATAGGCTTTGAAAGTTCAAAAGCCCGTTGCTTTGGTGGTAGCTAGTGCCGTGGCATCGCGTGTGCTTTGGTTTCGCCCCCGGTCGTGGTTAAACTTGTAATGCGTGATTACGACTTAATCATACAATGAATGATGTGCTTATCCGAACTGCATGAAGCCCGGCCAATTGACTTGGTGCATTATTGATGGTATATTATATCTTATAAGCTAATAATTATAGGAACTCATTCTTTCTCAAACTTTTTCTTCTTCTTGATGCAGCGCCCCTGCTCTCTTCTGCGTGCTTGAAGCCGCAGCTGATGGAGCAGCAGCTGCAACTACACAGGTTAGTAGCTACAGTACTGCATATTCATTTTGAGTTATGTCTTTTGCCTGAAATGAATCACAGTTGTTGGCCTACGTATATTCATATTTTGAGCTATGTCTTTTGTCATTCCATACATCATATCCCAGATGTACGAGTGTTAGCTAGCTACTCCAATAAAACATCCACATTTTTTACTGAAAAACATTTACTTATTTCATGCCTCGAGTTTATCACGGAAGCCATGCCATGCCTAAAAAAATCTCGTTCATGTATAGTATTATCTATAGCTAGCAAAGTAGTGCGGATATCTTTGGTGCAAAGTTGATGTACAACATGGTACACGTCATGATCCCCACTATATGTTTACAACTGAAAACAATTGCAGAATATCTTATCAACGCTCATTTGAAAATACATACTGTGACGAATCTTTAACTACATTAAGGGGGTGTTGGTTCTGCCTCCTAAATTTTAGTCGTTGTCCCATTGGATGTTTGAACACATATATATAGAGTATTAAATATAGACTATTTACGAAACTAAATGCACAGATTGAGATTAATTTACGAGATGAATTTATTAAGTCTAATTGGTTCATGATTCGACAACGTTGTGCTACAGTAACATATGCTAGTGACGAATTAATTAGGCCTAATAAATTCGTCTCGTGGATTACTGAGGACTTCTGTAATTTTTTTATTAGTATTCGAACACCCCTTGCAACATCCTATGTGACATTCAATGTAACACCTCTTAAACTTTAGTCCCTGCATCAAACACCCCCTAAACAATTGGCCTGTTCGCTGATTGGTTTCTGGGCTAATAAGCCCGTCTGATGCTAGTTTGTTATGAGAGGAAAATACTATTAGCTGATTAATAAGCCCTGGCTGAAACCAAGACGCATGGGCGATGACGTACATGTCCAAAGCTTGGCTAGGGGCTTGTTTAGATTGCCTCAAAATTTCAAGTTTTTTCACTCTTTCTCCATCACATCAATCTTTGAACGCATGCATGGAGCATTAAATATAAGTAAAAAAAACTAATTACACAGTTTGGTTCTAAATCACGAGACGAATCTTTTGAGCCTAGTTAGTCCATAATCGGACAAAGTTTGTTAAATACAAACAAAACATGCTACAGTGTCCAAATTACAAAAATTTACAATCTAAACCAGGCCTAGGATTCTTGTGTCACCGATTCTGACTGAACCACTCTAACTGCACTTAGCTCTCTTTTGGGGGCTCGTAGACCTAGTATTACACAAATTGAAATAGTCACACATATCCTGTGAAAAATAGCATGTCGATACAAGGCAGGCACACACACACACACGATTGTTTTTTCTCTGTGCAAAAAAACTTTGGAGATGGGCCCATCAATCAGGCCATGCAAGCAAGCAGACAAGGTTGGAGAGAGAAAAGAAAAGGGAGAAAAAGGCAGCGCGGCATCGGATGAGTCACCACGCGTTGACACAAGTGGCGCCTGCGCGACATGCCGCGAGGGCTACTGATCTGAGAGCTACAGAGGCATACCCCTGCTTAAAAATGGAGTCGTTTTGAACAGTGACACGATCTTCAAAACATAATTTTAACTACTTATTTTTATAAAGATATTTATAAAAAATAATATATATAATTTTTTATAAAAATATTTTTCAAGACCAATCTATATATATAATTTTCATATTTCTAAACTCAATAATTTAAAAGTTATTCATGATTTATGGTCTTGTTTGTTTATCTTATGATCCATCTTTTTCAGCTTATTTTTTTAATCGAAACAATATTTTTCTCTCCCAACAAATCAGTCGAAACAATATTTAGATTTATTTTTTCGACGAAACCAACGAGGCCTATGTTATCACCCAAGGCTTCCAAAACGACTTATTTTTGTGTACGGAGGAGGGAGTATGTTTTTTTAAGGGCGGATAGCGACACCAACGACTACTTCTTCAGTGCAGCAGCCAGCACTCCAAAAGATCTCTGCAGAGCTATAGACTAAAATATTGCGCGGAGAAAATTCAAAGTCTCTCCGAGTTGGTCTTAATTTACCGGCCCTCATGGAATTACTGTATTTACCCTGTCAATGCAAGTCTTCCAATCAGCATCTACCCTGTATCTTTCACTGTTTTAAAAGAATTTGTGTCAGTTTAGTTGATCTTTCGTTGGTGATGTCTGATGGAGTAGGAATCAGGAAAGCAATTTGGAATGAAAAGTCCGGGTTCCTAGATTCACACGGTAAGTTATGTTCAACCGTAGCAGCACGCTAACCCGGCTCTGTGTCTTTCCCGTGCCCTTGTTAAAAGCGAGTGATGTGCTCGTGAACGTGATTCATCAAGAACTGCCAGTACGACAACTTACTCAAAGCTATGCAGACATGATTTGACAATTTGCAAATCTTTAGCAAGATGCTAATTGCTCAGCGTCTGTTTAGTTTCCAAAATTTTGCAAATTTTTTTAAGATTTCCCGTCATATCGAATCTTTAGACGCATGTATGAAGCATTAAATATAAATAAAAAATAAAACTAATTACACAGTTTAGACGAAATTCACGAGAAGAATCTTTTAAGCTTAATTAGACTATGATTGGACACTAATTACCAAATAACAATAAAAGTACTACATCACTATTTTCCAAAAAAAATCGCCAACTAAATAAGTCGGAAGCAGAAATAGGATAGTACAACTTGTTGCCGCTGGTTTTTCGCTAATAATAATAAAGAGACGAATTTTGCACCCGATTTGTATAAGCTATGCAGACATGTTTCTTTTTCTTGTCACATATAAGTACTATACTACAGTAGTATGTAGCCCTCTGACCTCCTTTAACAAGTAACAACACCCATCTGCTTTATTCATTATTGTCATTAGACTAAAGTAGTTGGTGAGCAGGTGGGGGGAGGAGAGATAAGGGCCAACAGCACAGCTCAACAGAAAAGCCAAGCAAGGCTGCTGCAGACTGGCAGGCCCTCTGTTTGCGAGTGCAAGAGAGAGAGGGGAGGAGGGGGAGGGAGGAGACCTTGCAGAGGAGCGAAGCAAGCAAGGTGGGAAAGAGTCAGCAAGGGCGGCGGGCTGCCGGAAGGGGAACATGCTCCCTCCTCATCTCACAGGTCTTCCTTCCTCGCTGACTTGCCTCTCTCCAGCCCTCTCTGATCTGTGGTCTATCTACCCCCCGCGGTGTGGCCGGAGCTCTGCTCCCAGCCGAGCTAGTTTTTTTTTTTCCTTTTCTTTTTGGGATCGTTTCTTGGCTCTTCTGGCCGATTTGCGGTGGATCTGACTAGTTTCTTGGTTGGTCGGCTGGTTTTCGAGTTGATACGGTGCTGGGATTTGTGGGCACATTTCTGGGTGGAGGTGAGGTGATGGCTCCAGCATGTGCTCTGTGCTAAGGCCTTACAGCACACTATATGCCGGATTTGTGTTCCTGCCTGTGTAATCATTGTGGATTCAAGGGCGTCAGTTCTCTTTTGTTTGTTCGTGGTTTGGGGGAAAAAGAATGTAATTTGGGCAGGGAGCTTGCAACTTTGTTGGATTTAAGTAAAATTCACTAGCAGAGGTTTGCATGCAGGTTAGTAATGGGTCACGACTGATTTCACGAAAACAATTTGTCGGCTGTGTTTAGTGGGAGGAATTTGGATTTCGGGTTACCGTAGCATGTTCGTTTTTATTTAGCAAATAGTGTTCAAACATGGACTAATTAGGCTCAAAACGTTTGTCTCGTAATTTTTCACCAAACTGTATAATTAATTTTTCTTTTCGTCTATATTTAATGTTTCATATACGCGCCGCAAACATTACATTTGATGTAACAGGGACTGTGTAGCAAATAGCATCGGAGACGTTCCTCGTGATCCAACGGTGACCCCAACTAAACTCATGTAGCAGGCCGTTCGAGTGGCCCATCTCAGCCCAAACATCGCACTCGTCTTCAATCTCTTTCCCCTCCGCCATTGTCTCCCACATCGCTGATGAGCCCGATGCCGACATGCCGTCTGTCTCTCCTCGCCACGGTGCTCCAGGCTCCAGCATCAGCCTCCCTCACCTCGTCGCCGGCCTCAGGATTCAATGTTTCCAGCAATGACGCTGTCTGCAACTTGTTGAGGGTGGTTTGGTTGCCTTTGTGGCTTTGTAGACGCACGACGCCGGGCCGAGCGCGACTCAGCCGTGGCCGCCGCGTGCTCTGTTATGCCGCTAGCTTGATGACGTCACCATGACATAATGACTATGTCATATACTCCCTTTTCCCCTTGAAAATAATTTCTAAAATACATAAATACATCTACTCATCCTCTTATAATGGCACAAGCACGGCTAGCAGCAAACGTGAATGTAGATCACCGGCCCCCTCACTGCAGTCTCCTGGAGCTTTGAGCTCGTCTGTGCAGGTTGTGGAGAGCTTGTCAATGCGTATGCTGTGGCCTGAGGGCGAGCGTTTCGCCGCACATCGACAGCTGACGCGCGGCCAAAAAATCCATCGACCCCCTGGTGTCCTCGCCGCCGTTCGGGGCACTGGAGCTCCGCCCGCAATCGCTCGCACGCACACTAGCGAGACCGCGGTGACCGCGCCGAGTGCGCACAGTGACTCGAGGAACAGGCTGTCGTCTTCCTACGCAACCGCGGCCTATTGGTGGACAGCTTGTAAAGGAACTGGAGGTGGGGAGTGGGAAGAACTAGTGACCTACTGACGACATTAAGATGCAGCACTGTTTCGCGAGCGCGGCCTATTGGCAGAACTAACTAGTCATGTCTGAGGCCCTGTCATCACATACTTTGGTTGCATGAAGAACAAAAATTCAGAGGGAGCTACCGAGTTGATGCATGGTTCTGATACAGCGCTACTACTAGCTAGCTTACTACCTTAGAGCATGTGCATGCCCAAGTTACACATCTCGCATGATCAATTTAAGGGCCTAATAGCTTACTACCTTAGTTTCGTTTTTCATGAATTTGGTGGAAAGGTCGATTCTATTGTGTTTTCATGCATCAGCTGCTCCTTAAGGTAGACCGTATTTGTTTCGAATCTCACATATTTATTTTTGGGAACTGACCTATGTTTATATTTGGACAGTATGAACTGAAAAACAAGAATAAAGAATTTCCATGAGATGAGACGTAAGGATAATCTCCATGATATTGTTCAATTTGGTTTCGCGAGTAGTTTGCCCTTTTTATTTCTTTATTAGTAGTTTAGTTTCATGCAGCTAGAATTCTAACACCTCTTGTATCCTTGTGCAGAGAATGGCACGGTAATGATTCAATTTGGTCATCAAATGCCTGATTACGACTCCCCAGCTACCCAATCAACTAGTGAAAGCCATCAAGAAGTGTCTGGAATGAGCGAAGGAAGCCTCAATGAGCATAATGATCATTCAGGTTTGCCCCCATATCCATTTTTCACTGTATTCATATCATATCTAGAGGGGTAATAAAAAGGAAAAAAGAAGAGAGGATTTTGTTAGTTTCAAACCTTGTATGCATATGTACAATCATAGTTATGTGACACTATTTTCTTCTTGTACTAATACTAGGTAATCTTGATGGTTACTCAAAGAGTGATGAAAACAAGATGATGTCAGCTTTATCCCTGGGCAATCCAGAAACAGCTTATGCACATCCAAAGCCTGACCGTACTCAGTCCTTTGTAAGTTTCAATGCTTGCAGCCTTTGGCCTCGACGGTTTTTTTAGTTCCAATTGTTTGTTTACTTGTTCTCCAATGGGCAGTCATGTGAATTAAGCATTATGCACCTTTTCAGGCTATATCATACCCATATGCTGATCCATACTATGGTGGTGCAGTGGCAGCTTATGGCTCGCATGCTATTGTAAGTGATCTTTATGCTGTCCAGCCTGTTCGTTCATTACTTTCTCCTTTCTGTTGCTGGTGCTAAGATGTTCTTTATCCACTATGGACACTTTGCTAGACAATATTGTTCAGTACTAGTACTTTTTTAGGTCCGTTTTCCTGTGCATGCGTGCGTGCATTAGCATTCTGCATTGGCTCTCACATGCTTATCTATTGAGACAGCACCCAGCAGCATTGTTCATCTTGTCAGATTTTACTCCTATGTTATCGAAGCATTCGTGCAGCCATTTTTTACATTCCATGCCTGCATAAGTACCCCATTGTCATTCTCTTGGTTACAGTATTACAGCAGCTCTTTTTTTCTTTTTTTTTCTTTCCTTTTCTTTTCCTTTTTTTTTGTTGCTAATTCCAATACGTATGTATTGCCGGGTTCGAGTCGCGGTCTCCTCGCATTGCACAGGCGAGGGTAACGCTTGCCACTAACACCCTTCCCCAGACCCCGCACAGCGCGGGAGCTCTCTGCACTGGGTACGCCCTTTTTTTTAATTCCAGTACGTATGTGTTGCCATTGCCACTGATAATTACAATTATAGCCTCATATTTTGTCTGATAAACAATCAAGCAGATGCACCCTCAGCTAGTGGGCATGGTTTCGTCCTCTCGAGTGCCATTACCAATCGAGCCAGCCGCCGAAGAGCCCATTTATGTCAACGTGAAGCAATACCACGCGATTCTGCGAAGGAGGCAGCTGCGTGCAAAGCTAGAGGCTGAAAACAAGCTTGTCAGAAGTCGCAAGGTACTCTCTCGCTGCACTTGATGGCTTTGTATGAATTTTTATTGTCATTAGGAGTTCCTTTTCAAAAAATGGCACTGTTGCCTTTGGACTCAGTATAAAAACATTCATCTCTACTAGTGCCTTCTTTCCCAGCATAAAAGCAGAACTTCAGAAGTACACTCGGAAAAATAACATTCTGTTTGTGCAGCCGTACCTCCACGAGTCTCGGCATCTGCACGCGATGAAGAGAGCTCGGGGAACAGGCGGGCGGTTCCTGAACACGAAGCAGCAGCCGGAGTCCCCCGGCAGCGGCGGCGGCGGCGGCTCCTCGGACGCGCAACGCGTGCCCACGAACGGCGGCCTGTTCACGAAGCACGACCACAGCTTGCCGCCCGGCGATCGCCACCACTATCACGCGAGAGGGGGCGGCGCGTAGGGAGCCAGCCCCCCAACTGGCAACTCATCCTTGGCTTATCAGCGATTCGACTCTGGCTCTTGTCTAAACTGAACTGAACTCGGGGTGTCTCTGCAACTGTAACTGTAACTAAACTAGGTGTGTCCGAATTGGCGGTCGCTTTGTACCTGGTACGCGTCGTTGGGTCTGGACTAGAGAGTGGAGGTGATGCAGGTGCGGAATGCTAGTTCTTTGGTGACCTAAGCTGGACTTGCGGTTGTGTTGAGTAGAGCGAAACTGGCAAACTGGCACCTGTTTCATGTAACTTTGCTCCAGGACGATGACTGGTATAATAAGTAGCAGTAATAACCATTTTCTGTGTGATGCTTTCCTTGCGCCATCTGTGATTGGCGAAACTCATTTGAGTGGTGCAGATTCTGTGTCAGCCTAGCAGCCTGCATCAGTCATCGGGTGGTCTCGCTCTCTGTGTGACTGTGTTACGGTGGCCGGCAACGAACATGGCACGCCGCAGTCCGCAAGGCGGCAAGGGAAGCAGGGGGCCGGGCCGCGGGCGCAGCCCCAGCCCAGCGAGGCCCAATTGGGAGGCGCAGGCCGCCCTTGATCCGTGTGAGCCCGCCGCGGCAAAGCCAGCTTCCCTCCCCGCGGCCCGCGACATGCATTTCGGCCGGCACGGCGGGCGCCCACTGATTTCGGTTTCCTGTCGGTCTGCGCCGTCTCCCCTGCCCACGTCAGTTCGCTGCCAGCCTCGAGAGCGCTCCGTACGAGCGGGAGAATCCAGCACTCCAGCAGGGAGTGGAAGCTTCCTCTTCTCCGGCGGCGCGCCGCGACGCTTCCGGACTCTGGGGGGCGAAGCAAACGAGCGTTCCACGAGGGAGGTGGAGAAGGAAAACCAGGGGAGAGAGACCACGCGGGACCTGTGTCGAGTCGAGCTGACGGATTGGTTGGTGCCCAACCGAAATCTCATATCGGTGTCGATGGGTGAAGGAAAAACGTGATCGGAAGCTCAACCATTCCTTTCTGCCCTCGATTGGTTGAATGCAGCGTGACATGTAGTAATCCGAGTGCGATCCCATTTGGGCCTCATTTGTTTCCCCTCCATGACTATCTTGGAAAAAAATCCAAGATAGAATGCTAGTTAAATTTGTATACCAGTAAGCATCATCTGTTGAAATAATTTATAGGCTCGTTCCCTGTAACCGAACGAGCCTTTGGTAGAATCCCGACGGCTCCAGCTTGTGCTCTTTAATGTACTCTCTCTGTCCCATCGGTCTAGATAGAGTGTATATAGAATTCATGTCAATCAAACTTACTCAACCCTGACTAAATTTATAATAAATAATATCAGTATTTATGTCTCTAAAAAAATTTATTATAAAATACATTTTATAATTAATTTTGATGATACTTATTTTGTATCATAAATGTTAATGTTTTTATGTAAATTTATTTAGTCAAAGTCCAAATCCTTTGACTCCTTGAAAATCGGGAATTATATTCTTTCTAGAACGTATGAAGTACTCTCTAGGGAGTTATTTATCTATCCTCTCAAAATAAATTAGTAGTCGATAAAATCATTATTTTTTCATCGGCTTAAGTTTCTACACACACGTAGAACAGAGTCGGAGCCGTGCAAAAAAAAACAAGTATACAATGCTATCCGTGGGCATGGCCTCTATAGAGTTCAGATCCCGGATCCCCGGCATGGCTTGTTCGTCTCATCCCAATCCAAGTGGGGCTCAATATTGCATCCGTCATCGGTGTGTCACCGAAGGTTTGTGAACCCAATCCAACCTTCCGTCGTTATCTCTTCAATTTTCACTTGGGGACGGAAATTGATGACTAGTTTGTTCATTCATTTTCGTGGAAATGCTATCATTATATTTTGTTAAAGGCAAGAACCAGTACGGTTCAGAAATTATTGACCACTAATCCCATTGAGGATTTTGTTCGTTTTATCCTCGATCCGAATGGATTGGAGAGGATCAAAGGGGATTGAGAGAGATTTTTGGCATGTAGGGTCGGACCTTCCTCAATCATTTCAACGCGCCCTGAATCAGTTTAACGAGACAAGAGTAAAAATTGATTCATGGAACAATTAGCTCATGACACATGACCGAGAAGGACAAGACTAGTTTCCATTAATTGCCGTCAGTTACTACAACTTCCACTGAACACAAACTCTTTTTTTTTATCTTGCTAATAACACAACGATGCGTACTCCGTTAGTTTTGCTGATGGTAAGGTGATGCATCTGAAGAAGCGGTGAACGTCGATCTCCTGATGTTTTGCTGACGCTAACACAAGAACATTTCCGCTATGGAACTCAAATACAAACTTAATTATGAGTAAAAAAACTGCTTGGTTCCATCTTGCAAGCTTCCGCTCTCCAGTCTCCCCGGCCTGCAGCGCACTGACGCTGAGGCGTCTGTAGAGCAAAAGAAAGTTCCACGCGGGAGGTGGAAAAACCGGCGGGGGCCGGGGGCCCGCCCAGCGACCCGAACAACGCGAGCTCACGGCACTAGTGCGTCGTCACGGGGCAGCTCAACTCAGCTGACGGTCAACCTCGTCGAATCCTGGGCGATGCACACGCGTCGCGTCCATCTGTGGGTCAACCAGGCTAGCTGCCAGTAGCAGTACTGTGGAGAGGGGGATCAGTGCCCTTTTCCTTTCAGACGTGCACGTGGCCCTGTGGCCGTGTAGCAGTAGTGTGTGTGGCCATGTGGGAACGCAGCAACGCGCGTGCGCATGGAGCCGACTAACCCAAAGCGTCTGTGCAGCGTGTTGCATGTAATACTATCAATTTGCAGGGTATCATGTATGATCGCAGGACGCCAGGATGGGATGGGGAATTGAGGAGGGGGGCTCTAATCATCGTTGCACTCTGGCAAAACGAACGGGACGACCAGACACTGGTCAACACATTTGTTCCCAAAAAACAAAACGAAAAATAACGAGGAGGGAACCGGGAAAGCGGCTGGTCGGTTCAGACTTGAGACGTTACAAACTGAACCACGTGGTTTCATCGCAGAAAGAGAGGGAAGGAAAAACACGCGCGCGCGTGATTGGGTGGTGGCACTGGTGAATGGTGATGCCGGCCCGTCGAATCGAACCCCCATCCATGGCTCACGAGGTTATTCGCCATTTCGCCTGCACCGCATGGTCACGATTCACGAACCGGAAAACGCCCCCGTATTATTCCTATCCCCAGTCCGTTCCCACATCGCGTCGCGTGGAGGAGTGGAGGATTGCACATCGCCATGCGCCGATCGCTCGCTGTCCCGCCCAGGTAATCAGCTTGGAATTCCGCCTGCTCACGTACTACGCCCGTACACGCGAGAAGCGACTTTGTCACATTAAGTTTTATATACAGTAATATACTAGCCGTGCCTTTCACTTTGTCATGTCATGGCCGACACCTATTCTCCCGGGCCCGGGCCGCCGCTGAAAATCGCAATTCTTTCGTTTGTTTGGGAGGAAAACCCGGGAGTTCGGCACGCTGAATTCCGCCGCGCCGTGAACGGGTCCAAGTGAAGTGCCGAAGTCAAAGTAGTCAGCTCTCGCGCAGATTGCTTTGGCTCTACGCTTGCTCCATCTCAAAAATAAGTTAACTAACTAGACGTCTTATTTCTCAATTCTTTTTCAAATTCAAATAGGTTTTTAAAAATAATATCAATACTTGTATCTCCTTAATACATTTAATGTTTTTATTAGTAATAATTGTTACATATTGTTCTTTATATATTTCATCATCGAATTTGAAGTTTGTTGTTGCTTTCTTATAAGCAGAGTTAATTCTCGTTAAAAAAAATCTGAAGTATGTTAATGTACAGTCATTATTTTTAGACAGAAGAAGAGGAGGAGGAGGTACGACTAGCCGCCGCTCCAGATAACGCCAGACTCGCGTTCCTTGCCGTGACTCGCGTTCCTTGCCGTGCTTATCTTTATCCCCTTCGTCCCCCGCCGGCTACGCTATAAAAAGGCCACTCGCACTCGCACAGCCAAAGCCCAAAGCCGCCGAAACCGCGTGCCGCTGCCGAACACCACACCATCTCACCCTGACGGGTATCAGCGAGCTGCTTTTGCCTCCCCCACGGCCCCACCCCATCTCCTGTTCTCCACCACCAAACCAACTGCCCGCCCGCCCGCCACCAGACGCTCGCTCGCCTTTCCCTCGCCGCGCCGCCGCGCCGCGCCACGGGTGCCGGTCCCTGCCGTCTCACCACCTCAATAACAACCCCGTGTCCCGTGCCGCCCACGCCATACGCCCGAGACCGAGCCGCCCGCCGTCTGGATCTGATCATCTGATTGGATTGGCTCTCGTCGCCGGGGGCGAAGGGAACCAAGGGGGAAGAACCAGCAGGCTGCAGGCGTTCGTCCAAGAACCATCAACAAGATGCTGCAGCTGCTGATGGCGCTGGCCTTCTCGGCGGCCCCGCTGACGCTGTACGTGCCGCCGGTGCGCAGCCTCAGTCTCTTCGTCGAGGCCATGGAGACCGTCTGCCGCGACTGTGCGCCCTACTCCCACAGCGCCGTCCTCCGCTTCCGCCTCGGACTCTCCCGCATCCTCGCCGGCCTCGCGCGCGCCCTCCGCTAGGCGCGCGGCGGCTGCCCCTCATCGCCACCGCCGGGTTCCTCCGATCCTCCTGCCTACATACACACACGCACACGCACGTATGGTGCTCTTCTTGCTCCCTTCTCTCTCTGTCCTTTCTACTACTAGCGAAGGAGTGGTTTCTAATCTATATGCAGGACTAGCGGTTAGTTCCCAAAATCTTTCTGCTTTCTTTTTACCTTTTTGTTCTCTCTCTCTCTTATCTTTTCCGTTTTTTTTTGAGGATTGGGTGTAGCATGGAGTAGAGTGAGAAAAGGTTAATGATCTGTCCAAAGGGGAGATTTTGCAACAGATGCTGAGGAAATCTAGTATGCGTGTGTGTGTGTTTGCTTGTGATGGGAGAGGTAACTCCCCCAGGAATTCCATGTGATGTGAATATTCCTTTGTAGTATGTATCTTGGCAATCCTTCAGTGAGGATTTGCGGGTTTAATTCATCTTCCTCTCCAATGCTTCCTTCAAGTGACAAGTTGGGATGGATCATCGTTTCAAGAAAACAAGTTGGGATGGAAACGGGACTCCTTTTTCCCTGTTTTGTTTGGTGCAATCCAAGCCAAGCGTGCAATCTCCGTCTCGAAAGTCCTTTTGTGCGTTGTCCGACTGCAAACTGACAAAGCAAATGCCACGGAACGACCGACGCGGATTTGGCTTGCCTGACTTGGTGAAGAAAAAGTCTGACAGCACAAGAACCGAAGCAGCGAGCACAAGCCAACCAAACGCCGCTGTGTTTGCCCAGCCAGCAAGGGATCCAAACGTCCCCCTTCTTTCTCCGAAGCTCCTCGCGAAAAAAAGGCAGAGTCGAGGAAGAAGACGGCCGGGGACGAACTTTACAAAACCGCTGTTGCGACTGATTGGTTGGTCACGGCATTAGTACTAGTAGTAGGTTTCAAGAATTGGCAGCCAGGCACAGCTCCAATTCAAGTGATGGCGACCTTTGGCCGACGAGGGCTACAGTAGCATATTCTAGTATTTTCTGTAACCATCACTTGCATTAGAGAACTGGAGCATTGCCTAGGCCGTTCGCACGGTTCCTAACAAGTGTCAGTCAGATCAGATGGTCAGACGGCGACGGGTTCCCACGCAATGGCAGACTGGAAGTGTGCCAGCCCAGAAAAAGATGGTGTCGTGGTCCGCCATGTTCGGCTTATCTCGAGAGTACGATTGTACAGTTCCGCCCGGATATACCCAGACATGATCGCTGCAGCTGCAGGCCCTCCGTTCGGCTGCCATTATAAAAGTAAAACCAGCGTACTCCCTCTCTCCCGTATTATTTGCACATCTAAGGTTGAGCGTGAAAACCAAGGCAGCTGCTAAAATGATGCTTTTGTCCCTGTACGAAAGTAACTGTGCGGAGACCGAAGGCATTCTCCAGATTAACTGGAAGCATCGTCTATTTTTTTAAATACAACTGATGATAGAATGAGTGGTTGAAAAGGCTCCTGAGTCTAAACGGAGGTGGCGGAGTCCCTGGATGCTCCGGAGTCTAGACCGTACGTTTGTTTTAATTCCGCTGTAGATATACCTCTGGTGGACGTGATCCCTGCTGTAGCCTGCAGCCTTTGGTCCCACCGTTTGGTCTTCTGCAATGCCATTATAAAATGGGAAAATTTTAAAGGGTAGATGTGCAAATATTATGAGACGGAGGGAGTAGTTGTCATCAGCATCAGCGAAAGTTTCTACTGCTTGCTCTTATAGAACGCACACGTCACCAAATCATTTTCTTGCTCCATTTGCATGGAAATGGAATGGAAGCAGCCAGCCAGCCACAGCCCACACGCCGGCGTGTACCGCGCGCGACCTCGAGTTCATTACGGTTCCAGGATTTAGGGGACCCAGATGATCCGATGGACCCGTTGACTTCCAGCCACAGCCCAACGCTTGTTCGGCTGCCTGTTTTTGACTGGCTTGGATCTTTTTTTTTCCAATTGGAGCAGTGTTTTCTCTCGCAAAAAATCAGCATAAACAGTGAAAACCTAGCGTGAACAGTGTCAACTTTAGTCCAGCCGAACCAGCGTGTACATTCACATGTTGGGGCTGGCAGTTCAAGATTACTCCGATTGTGCTTGTTTTTTCTTTTAGAATCAAGATTAATTGATTCCAAATGAATTTTGGTTTTGGCTCAGCTGGTTCAACACGGTTTGAAATTTTGGTGACTACAATACGTAAGTAAGAATATATCGATTTCAAAGAAAACTAAAAAAAGGAAAATCTAGCTGGCTCATTATCCACCACCCCTTTCAGGGCCACTTGCACTGAAGAATGGTGCTCCTAGTACATCAGAGTTCCAGAAGGCACGAGCAACATGCTACTAGAAAAAGGCCTGCCTCACGAGTCACGAGCTCCTCTAATCAGGCTTTGGAACAGAGTGCGTGATCACGAGTTTTACCAAATCTGTCCCAAGCAACACCTGAATCAGATTCAGATGTAGTAGTATAGTACGGTACATCTGGCGGGTGGAACTGAGCTGAGATGTACACGTCGCCAAGTAAACAAAACTGAACCTGAACCTCCGACAAATCGCTCCGTTTCAGTCAAGATCCAAACGTCAAAAGGGGGGAAAAGATCAATATGTGGTTTGACTGATGAACAATCCAGTGGCCAGTGCAATCACGCACCGATATTATCATCAAAATTCACAATACAAAACGTCATACGGATACGACTATCATACAACGTAACGATTTCCCTGTATTAGTTTACTGCAGTGCCGCTGACTACTACTCTGAATGTCTGAATCCAGATCATTTCACTCAGGAGAGGACGTGCCCAAATTATTGTGCGCTTTCCCCCGCGAGATCGTAAAATCACTGTCAATAGTTATAATACAGGTCAACCATATCCAGGCACGAAGCTTCATCGTTCCTCGGCAACGCCAGCGCACCAAGGCGCCAACACATGCCATGCCACTATGTCGTCCTTCCAAGTTCCAAGAACCACCTGGAGTTTCCAACTGGGGGTGCATATCGGTTGATTCTGGAACACCCATGATTCTTCGCTTTCCAGGCCCGCGAGGCTGCTGGTGAATAGATTTGCAGTGAAGTTACGTAACTATTGCTCTAGTTGTATTTCACCATAAGCCTCCTACACAGTTTGAGTTGCTATGATCTCTAGGTTGATTTCACACAATCACACACCAGCAACTGCACAACTAAGCTAGAAAGCTAACTAGAGAGCTAGTTGCAATTAGTTACAACTACAAGCTACTCTAGAGCTACTCTATGAATTGAATTACAAGAATAGAGCGTTATACCGAACAGGGGCAAGAGACAATATAAACACCAAGATTTATCCTCGTGGTTCGATTGCTTGCCGGCAACCTACGTCCACGTTATGGTAAGTCCAAACTAGGTGGTTCACGCGCTAATTGACATCACACGCCAAGCCCTCACTAGGACGTCATAAGAACCACACTAGAGAGCACCTTTCGCACCATGATTTCTCTAGAGTTCCTTTTTCGCGAATCTCCCATAGGGAATAAGCACAAGAACCCCTCACAATCTATCGATAGGAGCCGGCAACAATCACCAAAGCCGCTCAACGATCCCACAAACTCTGGGGCGGCTAGGTGACAGCAATCACCAAGAGTAACAAGAGCACCACTAGCCCAACTCACCCAATTAGTGCCACAAAATGCAAGATCACTAAGGAAATGCACTAGAGGCTCTCAATCTCACTCCAAATGTGATCCAAAGTGATGCAAGTGAGTGGATTGTGTTCTTCATCTCTCAAGGGGTTTGCACAACTGAACGGAGGTCCAAGAGGGTGGGGCGAAGACCGGCCACACCCTCTATTTATAGCCCCACTTGAGAAGCCAACCGTTATGCACTTTTTGGGCTAACTGCAGGGGCACCAGTCATGTGAACCATAGCACCGGTTGCCACACCGGACATGACCAGTGCCCTTCCAATGGCTAGTTTCAACATTAAAAAAATTTGACCGTTAGCGCTATCAGACGACTGGTGCGACCACCGGTGATGGCACCAGAGACGACCGGTGCTCGATCAAGTTCAACGTGCGATTTACAACCTCTCTGGACGCCCACACCGATGTGGTTACCGGTGTCGCCCCAGACATGATCGGTGTGTAGAAGCCTCCGCGCAGTCGATTTACATGCCCCCTGGATGCCCACACCGGTGTGAGCACCGGTGCTAGCACTGGAGACGACCAATGCTCAGAATGCCCCCGTGACCAATTTGCAGGCTATCTGGAACCCATGACCGATGCACTTTGACCGGTGCACACCGGAGTCGACGGTGCTCGGCAGAGACTTGCGTGCAGTGAAAACGTCGCTGTTATAACCGGTGCCACCAAACCGGTGTGCCGCCGGACACGACTGGTGCACGCTGAACAGCTGCACCAAGAGCACTCAAGTGCCTCCTTTCAAGCGAGCTAACTCTCAAATGTTTTGACGAACCTGTTAGAGTCAAGTTAGCCTTTTAAAAGTATTTCTCATAAACGTTTGCGCTGGATTTCCAAGTGTCACTAGGCCTAAATGCATATGCAAAGTATTCCAACACCTAGTGGCACTAAATGTCAGAATTGTCTAATTAGAGCTCCCCTCTTAATAGTACATCCATCTATCCCTGATCACGTACTCTATTGTGTCTTGACCGGCAAAACAAAATCCCTATTCATACCTTTGCCTTGAGCCCATAGGGTTTTGTTTTTTCTCTTTCTTCTTGTTCAAAGTTGGAGCACTTAATCATCGGCATGTGGCCATCTCCATTACCTTGAGTGCCATCTTGCTCCACCTTAGATATGAACTAACCTTTTTTGAGGAAATGAGATGTGAACTAACCTTTCTCAATCACAGCACTAGAGTAGAAGGTTAGTTCACTTGATTGTTTTAATTATCCAAACCAAACATAGGACTTTCAGCCTCGAGCTCCTAGTGATGCGATGCTGCGCGGTGCCCATCAGGGCCAATGGCTAGGTTGCTGACAGACGAGGACGCCGCGACCATCCCAGGCTTGGTGAGGATGGCCGCCGATGAGGGACTTGATGCATCGTCTTGCGCAGAGCGCCGGTCTCCAGACAAAGGTCGTCCATGGTGGCGTCGACTCTTGGACGCCAATCGTCGAGCACCTTGTGGGCTTGCTCCAACTCAGCGAAACGACCGCCAAGCGCGACCTCGCCTTCAACTCGTTGAGGACCAACTTAATGTTCAGATCCATGGTGCCTCGTTGCTGCTGGAAGCGTGTAAAATGGTCGTGGTCGATCTCGTGTATGTTACGAGTGGATTCGTGGAGAAGGAGAAGCAGAGAGAAAGGAGACGCAAGAGACGGGAGTAGGGAGGACGGCTTCTTCAGTTTTCGAAAGGATTATGAGTTCATACAACTTGATTCAGATACACGGCGCCTAGGCCTTAAGTAGCCGCACGCAAGCGGATCTTAGCACGCAATGAATCCATTCCGGCCCAAATACAGTGGCGTTAGGCTTCCTGGACCTGGGCCTACGATTGCTTGCGAGCCCATCCTGATAACGCCCCTTCGCGCGCTCCGCTTCATCGTTCCCGCGCTTCTCCACGTCTGCAGATTGAGTCACCCTGACACGTTCCTTCCTAGGATTCATAAGAAATAGTATAATATATCGCACAATTCTGTGCAAAGATCACATAAATGCGCACGTTTATATCACCATATGCGTACTTGTTCAGGCACACTGTGCCTCATATCTGTACCACCTACTTTCCACATTTCTATCTCTTCTATTTTTCTAGCCCTTGCCATCCATCCTAACATCATCTGTTAACATGAAAAATGCATAGGCTTCTTAGGGTCACAAGGAAAAATATGAAAAAGGGGACCGATTTTTTCACTATCCGTGGTCACCATCTTTTGTGCCAGTAATGTGAAAACTGACTGGACGGCCTTCACATCACCCATCGAATTCTTGTGCGTACTTTTCTCCGCCACATGTACCCTTGACTTCAACCCCATGATAAAGTATGTTGTTACTTCAGCAGTGCTGATTCCTTATTACGCACAGAATCTTCGTCTCTGCATGATGGACAAGATAGTGAGACCAACAGTGTAACTACATTGCAATCCAGGTTTGAAGACAGAAAAGAGCCTAGTAGCTGATCTTACACGTAGGTTTGATCTAATCACTTCCTCTAGCGACTCAGCGATTTCCATTTGCTTCATCACCGTGGCTTGCAGCACCTGACAAAAAGAAGGGGGGTTCTCTTATTTTCATTTGACATTGACAGCAAGTTTAGATAGTGATTTCTCTGAACAGTCTTCAACCATCTGTTCTCACGGATGCATAAGAATGCTATATTCCTCCACTTCTTTTTATCATTTATTAAAAACAAGAAGAGTTTTAGTTGCCTTGTGTCCAAAAATGTTTCAACATTTAAAATGCCTTCATTTCCGCCCGTACCATGTTTAACAATCTAAAATCGATGCTACCACCGTTTACATTTAATTAGGAAATGCAAATATTCCCTAATTATTGTATGGGTTCTAATTACTAATGCCTTCAGCAGTTAGAAATGGAGATACACTGACATACGTAATGGCGACTTACCTTCTTTGTTCGCTCCAGGTCAGATTCAATACATTTTATCCTATTCCATGAATCCAAGAGGGATCGATCTTTCTCCATAGGAATCGCTGGGGGCTTGCTGCCAAGCTCATAGACCTTCCCTTCAAGTCTCTGAAGGCGCTCTATGACTGGACTGATGTGGTCTACATTGAAAGTCTCTACTGCTGGATGATCGTCAGAAATCGGTTCTGGTTCGGCCAGAGGTAGTGGGTCGTTGGCCCTCGTCTCCTGCTGACTATATACTATGTGAAAGAAGGCGAAGACTTTGACAATAAAAGCCAGAAGTAGCCTGACAAAGCGATGGAATGCTCCTTCATCTGAAACCCCTTTAGGTACTACTGTACCTCGTCTGTTACTTGAGGGACCTAGAGAGAGTAAAGATATGGTCAGTAGATAAACTCAACAGAACAAATGAACAATTTGTTCTATAGTGATAAATATAAAACTCACTGTTTTCAAATCATTGAATCGATCCTAGTCACCATGCCACTGATCGGCCAGACTAATCGCAACTAATTTTGACTAATAGTAGTGCATAACCGATCGCCATGCCACTGATAAGCCTGACTAATCATGATTATTTGGACGACTTGATACCTTGCATAAAACACTTGAACAGCGTGCTATCCTAGGCTACTGAACCTTAGTCACTCGAACTATTACTGTTGAGCTGGTCGCTGAGGTTTCTTTATAGTTCGACATATACCATAGCGTGCATGAAATGTAAAGCTAACATTTTACATGTACTTAGGAGCTCACTATTCCTTCTTTAAAAAATAGTTAAATGTCTGGGAAAAGAATAAATTGCACATTCATAATATTACAGAAATCTACATTTCAGAAAAATCAATGAGCATACCAGCCATGTGTGCTGCTGTGCTAGCATCCAGTGGCCGAACTTGAGTTTTTACTTCTGAAGCACTGGTTTTATCTGACATTGATCCTCTTCGACCATAGTCAACCGTTTTGTCCACCACAACAAAGTGATCGTCACAGCTGTAATAAGCTGCAGAGTCTTGAGCTCTCATCTGCATCTATGTAAAACATAAGGTTCAGTACACACAAGAAAGACTTAAAAGTAGGACAATCCAACAAGGTTAAGCTACTTGGCTACATTGTTAGAGCTTAAAATATCACCTCTTCACGAACTGGGGCCAATCGACTACACCCCAATGTGCTTCTCATCATCGGAGAACCAAGATCATCAATTTCAGACCCTGACTCCACAGTTGACGTGTCACTGTTTCTACCCTGTTATTCGAGAGAAAAAAAAAACACAACAGTAATTAGTTGCAAGAATAACTGTAACTGATGGAGCAGAAGGTTTCATCCATATTAAAGAATTTAGCATGATTCAATGAGTAGGGCAGTGTAGAGTTTACCTTCAAAAGATGTAACCTAGCAAATGAACTCCTCCTTTGCTCAATCTCGGATAAACGTCTGGTATGTCTTGTAAATTTTGCTTCCTTGTTATGTGCAAGCTACAATCAAACACACAAAGTACTATAGTTGTCAGATGGTGCATGGAAAAGACAAGGTATGACAACATGTACCAAATACAGTAGTAGTATTCTACCAAGTGATATGAAAAGGCTACGGATAGATGGATTAGCATAGAGAGACCAGGATTTCTTCTCGCTTGCCTCTAACTGATACATGACGGACCCTTTTATAGAGACAACTTACTTGACCCCTAAGTAATATCCTAACTGAATCAATCTATCTTATTCCTTTCCTAACAAACCAAATCAATCTAATTGAATCTAATCAGAGCCGATACTGTACTGTTCACGCGCTACAGTGCATCATGGCCCCCGGGCGGCTCCGCTTGCTATAACACTACTCCACCCCTCCAAGACAGCTCGTCCTCGAGCTGTGGCGATTGCTGGAGCAGAAGACCTTGCAGTGCAGAGAAGATTGTTGCAGTTGTAGTCGAGGCAGAAGACATATGGCTCCCCAAAATCAACTCCGTCCCATGGAATCTGCTTCTGCAATGGTGCACGATCCATACCTTCCTCCTCAAGGTGCCAAACCTGGCTGCTCCATTTGATCTGCCAGGAATCTAATCCGCCTGGCTCGAATCCATGGAGCGCCTACACGTGGAGTCGATGGTGCTCTCCACGAGCAGTGTTAAATAATCTGCTGCTCACCTCTGTATGCGCGGCAGGGGCAGGCGCCGAAAGGGCTCCCCTGCTGCTGCATTGTAGTCGCCGCAGGGGCAGGCGCCGAAAGGCTCTCCTGCCGCACTGTAGCCACAGCAGGGGCGGGTGCCAAAGTAAGTCATGCTGTCACATCTAGTCACTGTAGCAGCATGATAGCTTGACATGTCTGTGTACTAGGATTAGATGGGTAGAGTTGTATATGTACTTTCTCACTGCAACTCAGTAAAGAGAGCAAGTTCAGTTTTGCCATCTCGTCTGCAGAGCTCCGGCCAACGCTGGTGCTTGTGTTGTGTGCGCGCGCTCTGTTCTCCCTCCCTTCTTCTACCTCTAGCCATAGTGTGTGGTCGGCAACGTCGGTGAACTGGTCGGCTCACCCGTGCTGGAGATCTAGGGGCAAACAAGTGGTATCAGAGTCGTACAAGCGCCGTCGCTGGACTAACCGCTGGCGATTACAGACGGTTTGGAGATGGGCGACAGCAGCGGCGCTGCTGTGGCTGCCCAGCCACGACAGGAGGTCATCGTGCGCACGGTGCGGGAGGTCAGCGGCATCAGTTGGCCGATGCTAACTCGCACCAACTATGGCGAGTGGGCGGTGACCATGAAGGTCAAGCTCAGAGCCCGATGGCTCTAGAATGCTATTGACAAGGGCACCGACAACGAAGAAGACGACATGTCAGCGTTGGAGGCTATCATCGCTGCTGTGCCAGCGGAGTACAGGGAGCCGTTGGTGGCGAAGAACTCTGCTAAAGAGGCGTGGGAGGCCATTGCAGCGATGCGCGTCGGCTCCGACCGTGCAAAGAAGGCGACGGCCCAGCTGCTGAAGCAGGAGTACGCCACCCTCAGGTTCAAGGATGGTGAGTCAGTGGAGGACTTCTTCCTCCGCCTGCAGTCGCTCATTAGCAAGCTGAGGAGCCACGACGTCACCATCGACGAAGAAGAGGCGGTCTCTAAGTACCTCCACTCCGTGCCGGTGAAGTACATCCAGATCGCTCTCTCCATAGAGACGATGCTGGACTTGTCCTCCCTCACCGCTGAGGATGTGACAGGCCGTCTGCGTGCGGTGGACGAGCGCATCGAGCAGGCCACAACAACGACGGATAGCGGAAAGCTGCTGCTGACAGAGGAGGAGTGGGCTGCCCGGAGGAACTCTGGGGAAGCCTCCTCCAACCGCGGTGGCGATGACAAACGCCGCGGCAAGGCTTCTTCGGAGAAGAAGAAGAAGGTCGACTCCAACGCCTGCCGGTGCTAAGGGAAGATGGGCTATTGGGGTAAAGGAGTGCCCAAATCGCAAGCAGGAGAAGAAGGTTGAGGCTCATTTAGCGTAGGCTAATGAGGATGATGAGGCCACTCTCCTGATGGCGACGTTGCACGCAGGCGAGCTGTGTGACAGCTCCCTGGCCGGGAAGCAGAGGAGGCTGCCGTTCCCAAAGGCGGCCAAGTATCGCGCGGCGGAGGCTCTTGAGCTCGTCCACGGCGATCTCTGCGAGCCAATCATGCCAGCCACAAACGGTGGTTGGCGGTACTTCCTCCTGCTCGTGGATCATTGCAGTCGCTATATGTGGCTGCAACTCCTGACGAGCAAGGACGAGGCGGCGGAGGCGATCAAGAAGTTCAAGGCGCGCGCGGAGGCGGAGAGCAGCAAGAAGCTGTGCGTGCTGCGGACTGATCGTGGCGGCGAATTCACTTCGGTGGAGTTCGCTGCGTATTGCGCGGATCAGGGTGTGGTGTAACACCACACCGCGTCGTACTCGCCACAACAGAATGGCGTGGTGGAGCGGTGAAACCAGACGGTGGTCGGCATGGCTCGATCCATGATGAAGGCCAAGAGCATGCCGACTAGGTTCTGGGGTGAGGCGGTGACCATGGCGGTGTTCATCCTCAACCGCACGTCCACAAAGGCCTTGAAGGGTGTGACACCGTTCGAAGCTTGGTATGGACGCAAGCCGAGCGTGTTCTTCCTCCGGACATTCGGCTGCATCGGCCACTCCAGGAAGACGAAGCCGACCCTCACCAAGCTGGAGGACAGGAGCACACCGATGGTGCTCCTGGGCTACGAGGAAGGTAACAAGGCGTACCGGCTCTACAACCCACACGGAGGCAAGGTGGTTGTCTCGCGCGACGTCGTGTTCGACAAGAAGGCGGCCTGGGACTAGGACAGTCCGGACACGGAGGAAGCTAGCGGCTTCACTAGCACCTTTGTCGTCGAGCACTTGGTCATCTACGGTGGTGGAGACGCTGGAGAGGTGCCGACCACTCCAGCAACAGAGCCGAGCACTCCTGGGGCGGCGCCGAGCACTCCGGGAGGGGTGCCGAACACTCCAGGAATGGTGCCGACCACTCTAGAACGGGTGCCGAACGCTCCCGTAGCGGAGCGGAGAGGTCTTGCAGTGGTGTCGACCACTCCAAGACTGGTGCCGAGCACTCCTGCAGTGGTGCCAACCACTCCAGGAGTGGTGACGAGCGGTCCAGGAGTAGTGCCGAGCACTGCAGCCAGGGTGTCGAGTACTTCAGGTGCTGTGCCGAACACTCCGGCGGAACAGGGGACTCCATCGACCCCGATCGAGTTCGCCTCATCTCCAAGCGACATCACTAAGTTCATGGATGCCTTCCACGACGGTGAGGAGGTGTGGTTCCGCAAGCTGGACGACATCGTCGGCGGCACAGGGTCCTCAGGCCTGGCGGGTCGGCTGTTCAATGACCCAGAGCTGCTTCTCGTCAGTGCAGAGGAACCACCCACGTTCGCGCTGGACGAGCGCGATGCAAATTGGCGACGAACGATGCTGGAGGAGATGAAGGCGATCAAGAAAAACGAGACTTGGGAGCTCGTCGATCCACCTCCAAGATGCCGTCCGATCGGCCTGAAGTGGGTGTACAAGGTCAAGCGGGACGAGCGCGGCGCCATTGTCAAGCACAGGGCACGCCTCGTCGCCCGAGGCTTTGTCCAGCACGAGGGCATCGACTTCGAGGAAGTCTTTGCGCTGGTAGCGCGCATGGAGTCTATCCGACTGCTGCTGGCTTTGGCAGCAGCGAAGGACTAGCGCGTCCATCATCTGGACGTAAAATCGGCCTTCCTCAACGGCGAGCTGGCTGAGACGGTCTTCGTCAGGCAATCTCCGGGTTTCGCCGTCAAGGGAGCGGAGCACAGGGTGCTCCGACTGCGCAAGGCGCTCTACAGGCTGTGGCAGGCCCCGCGAGCGTGGAACGCCAAGCTTGACGCCACGCTGGGCGAGCTTGGGTTCACGCGGTGCGCAATCGAGCACGTGCTCTACACGCGGCGACGGGGGATGGAGGAGCTCGTCGTTGGTGTGTATGTGGACGACTTGATCGTCACCGGCGCGCGTGCGGAGGACATCGACAGCTTCAAGCGCGAGATGGCGGCTCGTTTTCGAATGAGCGATGTCGGCGCGCTCTCCTACTACCTCGGCATTGAGGTGAGACAGGGGAAGGAGGCGCTCACGCTCGGTCAGAGCACGTACGCCTCGAAGCTGTTGGAGAGGAGCTGCATGGATGAGTGCAAGCCGTGCGTGACTCCGATGGAGGAGCGGTTGAAGTTGACGAATGCCAGTACCGCGGCAAAGGTAGATGCAACACTCTACCGGAGCATCATCGACGGTCTGCGCTACCTAGTCCACACGAGGCCGGACATTGCGTTCACCGTGGGCTACGTCAACCGCTTCATGGAGGATCCCAGAGAGGATCACTGGGCTACGGTGAAGCGGCTGCTGTGCTACGTCAAGGGAACGGTGGATCAGGAGATCGTTTTCCCCAAGACCGACGGAAGTGGGTTGCAGCTCACTGTGTTCAGCAATGCAGACATGGCGGGGAACATCGACAGACGGCGGAGCACTTCTGGCGTGCTCGTCTTCCTCGGGTCGGCTCCAATCTCATGGTCGTCGCCAAAGCGAAGGTGGTGGCGGCATCACGTCTGCGGCGTAGTATGGCGGCGGCCACAATGGCGTGCTGTTGTCATGGTGGTACTTGTGCCGGTCATGCGGGCGAGCTGACCGGTGTGGAAGCTCACCCACCAGCACTGATGGTGGACAACCAGCCCGCCATCGCCCTCGCGAAGAATCCGATTCTCCACGACTGGAGCAAGTACATCGACATCAAGTTCCACTTCCTCAGGGACCGTGTCGATGGAGGGCAGATCGTCATCGAGTTCGTCGAAACTGATCGGCAGCTCGCGGACGTCCTCACCAAGCCGCTCGGCTGTCTTCGGTTCACGGAGCTGAATAAGATGATCGACATGGAGTAGGTTCTAGGGTTAGCAGCAGGATTAGGGAAAGAATTGTTAAATAATTTGCTCCTCACCTCTGTATGCGCGGCAAGGGCAGACGTCGAAAGGGCTCCCCTGTTGCTGCACTGTAGCCACTGTAGGGGTAGGCGTCGAAAGGCTCTCCTGCCGCACTGTAGCCACAGCAGGGGCAGGCGCCAAAGTCAGCCCTGCTTTACATCTAGTCACTATAGCAACATGGCAGCCTGACATGTCTGTGTACTAGGATTAGATGGGTAGAGTTGTATATGTAGTTTCCCACTGCAACTCAGTAAAGAGAGCGTGTTCAGTTTTGCCATCTCCTCTGCAGAGCTCCGGCCAACGCTGGTGCTTTTGTTGTGTGTGTGCGCGCTCTGTTCTCCCTCTCTTCTTCTACCTCTAGCCATAGTGTGTGGTCGGCAACGCCGGTGAACTGGTCGGCTCACCCGTGCGGGAGATCCAGGGGCCAACAAGCAGCCACCCCTGCTATGGGTGTAGCAGAGCAGGGCTGCGCTGGAGGCGTACTCCAAGCGGCCGATGGAGCTTTGAAGGCCTGCTGCTGAGCCGGCGGGCAATCCGCGCATGCAAACAGCCACGGCCCTGCTCGAGGGATCGGTGCTGCGGCTCGTAGAGGCAGCGACAAAGGCACCATGTCCGCGAATGTTGGTGCAGGGTTGATCGCCTACATTGGTGACGCTGGTGAAGAGACTAGCGGAGTCATGACAGCCGGGGTCTTCAACGGTGGTGCCACAATTGTCGGGGTAGGGGTCATTGGGGCTGGAGATGGCAATGGCATCCTGGCCCTGGCCCTCTGGTGTGGCGGCACGTAGCGTTGGACAGTGCCGCCCGCCAAAGCAGCTACCTGGTTTCATGGGTTTCCATGCTCCATAGTGAGTGATCGGGACCCCGTCTTCACTAGCAGCTTCTGGGAGGAGCTGTTCCATCTGGCAGGCGTCAAGTTGCTCCGTAGCTCCGCTTTCCATCCACAGACGGAAGGACAGTCTGAGGTCACTAACTGCATCATCGTCATGTATTTGTGGTGTCTTGCAGGCGATTGTACACGTTCTTAGCTGCAGTGGTTACCATGGGTAGAATACTGCTTCAACACCTCTTTCCAGTCCGCCCTCCGTGCTACTCCTTTTGAGGTTGTCTACGGTGTGTGCCCGCCAACCTTGTCCTATCCTATAAACCGCAGCGACGGCGAGTAGGCTAGCGTGGGCCAATGACTCCGTGACCGCGACGCATTCCTGGAAGACATTCGAGATCGACTGCTGCTGGCCCAGGATGTCATGACCGAGCATTAGAACCAGAAGCGGCGTTCCGTGGATACTCAGTTAGTGACTGGGTTTGGCTGCATCTCCACCAGCGTACAGCTGTCGGCATCACTGCGGCTTCCTCCTCCAAGCTTGGGCCCTGTTACTTTGGGCCTTACCAGATCACCGAGCGCCTGGGTGCTATGGCTTATCGTCTGCGCCTCCCTCCTAAGGCCCGGATCCATGATGTCTTCCATGTGGCGCTTTTGAGGAAGTTCCAGGGCGACCCTCCAGCCGAGCTAGTGCCACTGCCACCCATCCTCCATGGCCGAGTGGCACCTACTCTAGTGCAGGTTGTCCGTGGTCGTTTGAACCGCGAACAGTGGGAACTTCTTGTTCAGTGGGAGGGCCATGTAGCTGCTGAAGCCACCTGGGAGCCTGTCAAGGACTTTAAGGAGCGCTATACGCAGTTTCAGCTCGCGGACGAGCTGTTTGTTGGGGAGGAGGGAAGTGTTGTGGACTCCTTCGTTGGTCGCCAGTATAGGCGCCGGCCTAGGCGTCCACATGGGCCTAACCGTGGCTAAGGCCAGGTTTGTTAGGAAAGGCAACTTTGGGGCAAGTGCACCTGATATATAAAGGGCACCTTAGATTGATTTGTAATCATCGAAGAAGGAAATAAACCTCCCCTAGGCGGGTTGGGGTTTACATTCGACGGTGGCTGCGAGCGCTTCAGCCGTAGCCGCCGGCGACAATCCCCCACCGCCCTTGCCTCGATATCCTCTACGTTCTAATTCTCAATCACAACTGCTCCTCCGATCTCCTCTACGCTCTCCCCGCTGTCCACGCCGTATCATGAAGTTAGATGGAGGATATTCAATCTAATTCTTATGTTCAGTTGGGAATCACATGTATTGCACAAAATTTATGTTCTAATTTAATCTGAAGAAAGATTTGTTTGCTTGACGAGCATATAATAAAGGATAAAGATCATTTTTGGCCATCAAACTATAGCCAGAGTTCAATTTTGGCACCACAACTCAAAAACCAGATATCACTGACCATCGCACAATGGAAACCCGACAAATTTAGCCATCTGGCTGGTTTCAAAGTGGCTTTGTATTTTCTGAGAATATATAATACATACTATATGTTTCCCATTTCAAAATTACCTTAAATCATAACTCATTGTAAAACAGAAACTCATCGAGCAACCCCAATAATAAACACAGATGTGGCTATATGGGTATATGGTTATGAAATAAATCAATGAAGTTACCTTAATAATATCTGGATCATTCCATGGACCTTTGTTAGACCTCAGGCATCCTCCCACAGCAGCACAAGTGCATGTCCCCCCCAAAAATTCAGGAAGTTGGCTATAGACATCAAAAGAAAACACACAATCTAAGCTAATGGGACATAATCATTATGATCGAGAAATTATGCTTAATATGGTTATAATAGAAAACATACCTTGCATCTATTACTTCCAGAAGTTTGTTCTGAAACTTTGTTCCCAAAACCTATAATTGAGGCTCCATGAAAATTTATACTTATTTGGACAACAACAACAACAACAAAGCCTTTAAGTCCCAAACAAGTTGGGGTACTTATTTGGACAAAAGAAGGAAATAATGTAGTTCCAGAGATCATTTATGCTCACATGTATCTTCGAAGCAGTTTTAGGGTCAAGAAAGCCTTTCACAGAATTCCATAGTAGCTTGAAACCGCTACCAGCATTCACAACAAACATCTGATGCAGCGTCTGAGCATACGAATAAATTGTTACCCAGTCTGGCGGTCAAGTATTGATCAGGAAAAGCAACAAGAGTACACATACCTCTGGATAATAGTCACTGTCAATCTTCTGCATTCTACTTAACATATCTCTTGCTGTTTTGCTGAAGTTCTTGAGACCCTGCAGCATGATTCATAATCAGCAGCAGTAATATTGCAGGAATCCAAAATTTACTTAATGTGTTTGGATGCAAAATAAGAGGTTAGTAAGCTAATCATCCACAAAGAGATAAAACCCATCAAATGTGAGAAGAATCATCATACCACACCATCGACATCTAGTATAGTAGTTGTAGAATCGATATGTCTTTTTGCTGCAATAGAGCATGCAGGAAACCTGTCCCTGAAGGCTCTCTCAAACTCTTGCACATGATACTTCATGTAGCGATCAACCGTAGTAATGTGCATCAATTTATTTGGTTCCACTTTCCCTAATCTCTCAATGTATACTGGTCTTCCCTGCCTGTCAACTCCATGGTAGCCCTGAGGATAATAGCATAGCACATCATCTAGCTCTTCAAAACTGAAGTCCTGCAGGATTTAGTTGCAATTGATAAGCATCAGTTATAGCTTTCACGATTCATGAAACATAAAGGACGCATTTGAGATTTTTTTTTTTGACCGAATGCGCATTTGAGATTAGAGATGCAGGTCTGCAAATAAAGACATATTAGCACCATTTATCACTTGCATGTCAAAAACAGCTAGTTGAAGATGGTGACAGGCATTTCCTACACTAACACTATGCAACCTATGAACCAATAAAAAATCGCAGCCAGAATTGTATGGTTATAATGTTATTGTACCAACTAACCCAAAAGCATTAGCCTCATCTCTAGTATTGTTGTTTTCTTATGAAACGAACAGGGCAGGAGAGCTGCCGATTATATTAAAAAGAAGATGAACAAAAAAGCAATGAGACCTCAGAGCATCGAGCAATGACAACCATCAAAACAAATACAAAGCTAACAACAAAAAGCTACTAGAAGCTCACCTCTAGTATTGTATCTGCTCCAAACTCTTTCCTCCACTGGAGCATCTCAGCCCACATATGGATCGCTTTCTCAGTGTCAAATTTTCTAGCCTTCAAAAACCTGCAGGGATTCAAAGAATGTGGAATTCCAATTGTCATATTCTTATGCTGCGAATTGATAGGAGCTATATCTGCTTTTGTAGCTTTTGGTGTGTACAGTATTCATAGTGCACAAACCTCAGCAACAAATGATAATCATTATGCTTGTCAGGCAGCAAGCTCCTGTTCAGAAGTTCTTGCTGGAAGGTAAAGACGGCTCGCTCCTCTTGCTCATCCCTGACATCTTCGATTGTGAAGGATGATGGCCGATGCTCCACCTTTCTTTTTCCCCTCTTCTTGAGTGAATGTGTGAGCTTGTTTGATGCATTCAGTGCCTTTTTCTTCAGTGACCCGATAGATAGCCGCCTTCGCTCGTCCTCTGAGTTGTCCACATCTGATCTCCGTTCTTTCCTGTCATCAAGCGTGAGCAGCCCTTCCATGCTTGCTGACCGACGGCGCACTTCAGAAAGAACGAGAGAATGAAAGTTAGTCATTCGGATGAACAGTAGCTGTTATATTGTCACAAAGATAAATGACATTGTGTGAATATGTACCTGACATTTTGTAGGTAGCAGAGGACTAGAAGTCTACAGGTACAGCTGGAATGAAGTAGAGATTGGGCAAAGAATCATGAGAATATGCCAGCCAAACTTCAGAGTACAAAACAAGCATGCAGTTTCCTTGCGAGAAGATGTCCTTTTTTGGCCTTGGATAAAGCTAATGCGATGTTCTCGGTCTCTCTAGTGAAATTGGGAAGGAGAATTTGAAGGCACTGCATTTGGTTTGCAGTTACCAGAGCGTTGCAGACAAGATGAATTTCCCCCATTAAAGAATTAAGGGAAAAACGCTCCGGATTTTATGCCGTGGTTTGGTAACCCATCAGCTGAGTAACTACAGCTTATAATAAAGAATAAAGAGCCCATAAAAAGACGTGCTCAGCAAAAGGGCAGACAACTCCTGTACTGTATCAGCCCCCGGATGCAGAAAAAGGAGGGTCAAAAAAAAGTAAAAGCTGTCAGTGGGTGACAATGCAAATAGAAAAACTAAAGTAGGGAGCAAAGCAGGAATTTAGTCCCAAGAGACAATGAAAAGGGGGAATTCTAATTAACAATTGTCCTTAGCTGATCAATCAGGCTTTTATTAGTGTTAATTTCGAAGACAGAGCAATCAGCACGCGTGAAAACACACTTGTTCGTGTACTACGAGAAGGAAACTGTGTGTAAGCTGTGGTGCCCGGCCTGCCAGGTTGCAGTTGCAGAAAAAGGAGCGTGGTCAACACGCAGGCTTTGACCAGGCCAGAGTTGATCAGACAATAAAAACCCACGTTATGCTGGTAATAACTGACGAGCAACGCATGTTTGCGTGACCTTGACGATCGGACGCGATTTGGTAGCCGATCGCTGAAGCTAAAAGAGAGCTAGAAATACGGACTGGATTTCAACGAAGATGACCTGCACTGCTGCTGCTGCGAGTGCAGGTCAACCACTCGTTTTCAGGACATGTTGGTATCACCACCGGAATCAATTTGTTGTTGCTTTACCGAAAGTTCTAGGCCCTATTCTTTTTTTTAGGCGCGCCAAAAGGACGAAATGGTGTGATTAAATTAGACTAAATGGTGTGAATGCGCTGTAAAATACTCCTACCAAATGCGAGCAGGAGCAATGCAACCGACGGGAGAACAACCCTAATTGGATTGGTGGACTAGTGAAATTCATGTAATTTAAGGTCTGTTTGACGGATATTAAAGCCGGCCGATAAGTCGGCCGGAGGTGTTTTGCTGTGAGAGAATAAGTCGTCTGGTAAGTTTAAGCAAACATATCCATAGGATTGCAGAGGCCAAGTAGTTGTTAAAAAAAGAAGAAGATTGTTTTAAAAAAAGAAAATGAAGTTGCTTTAAATAATTCCCGTGCTTAAATTGGGTTACGTAATTCCTGACACTAAACCAAACAGATGAAAAACAGGCTGCAGGAAGGATTGACCATGAACAAACCAGAATTAGGCCATGGCTTGAGACGGGACATGAGGCCAGGCGAACAAGGGACAATCCAAGATCACCGTTGCGTCAAATTTGATATGGCAATAGAAATTAGAATTGAACGCGCTTTATTTCAGCTGTCGACTGGACGGGCTAGCATCAAATCGCAAAACCGAGCACCCACCAGGCCACTGGCCACCACCACCGCAGTTGAGCTGGGTTGTATCACCGACGCACCGGCAGAGCAGCCGCCGGTAAGAAAGGACGGAAACGCAGATACACCGCTGGCTCGAGGCCAAATTCAGCACCTACCATAAAAGAAAGAAGAAAGAAGAAAGAAGAAAGAAGAAAGAAGAAGAAATTGAAGAACCATGCATGCACACACGGGCACAAATAGAAATTATAGTAAAAAAAAAAAGCCAGCGGCACAAAGACAACTTGCAGGGGAGGCAACAGGACAGGTGGAAGCTCACCTCCTCCAGGATCGAGTTCCACGCGGCGGCGGGAGCGGGGCGACCCCCAATTCCTTGACGCAGCTCCCAGCAACGGCGGCCCAGCTGGGAAGGAATCAGATCCTCCCAGGCTCCGGCCAAAAACCCAGAAACCGAGCGAGCACGCAACGCGACGAGGGGAGGGGGGAAGAGGACGACAGCGTGCCCTCTTGTCTATTCCTCGGCGTTGGCTGTTGCCCCGTCGCGCTGCGCCTTGCTAATTATACGCTTGACGTTGCGACGACAGCGGGCAACCGGGTCCGGGCAGGAGAAGCGTCTCTGCCCCTTGGCGTTTCCGCCGAGCCTGGCTCTAAGATTACGCAGCTGTCCAGAGGGGGTTTGTGCAAAAGCCCCGCCTGCCGCCATTTGGGTTGTTGTTGGCCAGTTCTGGCCAGAGGGGGAAGGGGATCTACGATTCGGGAAAAAAAAACTGGTTCACTGGATTGGGATACAGTGGGGGTTTGAGTTTGGGATAGGATGGTCTCTCATCCCATCTATCCCTGTGGGGAGGATGGCTTATGAGAGGGATAGCACTGTAGCGACGAGATTGGAGCAGCGAGGGGAGCCGAGAACCACAGGCGAGCAGGAGCGGCTCGATTGCTGCGGGGTGGAGATCGATCCGGGCTCAAGTTGGCCATCTTCATCGAAATCGACGGCCGCGAGTAGGCGAGCTCCCGCCTCCCTGGTTCGCCTCCGTCCTCCCATGGTCATCCATGGAACCTGTCCGTGCATGCATATGAAGGTGATCCCCACCGGTTGCCAGGGAGGCTTGCCCGTGCAGCCTGCAGCTCGTCGTCAAGCGCCCGATGCTCATCCCCCTGCTGCTACTCGCTGGCCGTGAGGGGGCAATGCTTGTTACTCGCTGGCGGTGCTCTCGTGTGTGCTTGGTGCGGTGGTGCCTGTGTGCTGTGGGCAGGAGATGACAGGTGCTCCTTTTATTTTTCTTTAAAAAAAGCATGCGGGCCCTAGTATAACCCAAACCCAAACCTTGTTGCATCCAAACGTTGGATTAGCATTTAATTTGTATTTCCAAATCCATAACCCACTTATCCCTAGTAGCCAGTAACAGCTCACATCGTGGGCCCGCCCCCCTCCGTCAGGAATAAAGGCCGCCGCACCATGCTAGCCTGACCTGGCCTGGTCCCCTGCTCTGCTCTGCTTTGGTTTAGTTTGATATTCGCGTTGGTTCCTTGATTTGGGGGTTTGTTTCCTTTGTCTGCTTAAACTTATCAACAGTTGTTTTATTTAACAACCGGGTGGTTTTCATTTGACAGCTCATTCGATGGTTTTCATTTGACAGCTCATTCGCGGTTTTCATTTGGATTGGAGGAATTTTTCCTGTTTTATGCGGGTTTTTCTTTTTTTGAAAATGAACTAATTCCTATGAAAATTATGTATAATTCGCATAAAATTATTGCGTTCCAAAGGAGCCAGGTTGAATACCTGGATTTGTTCGTACCCGTTATTAAGCAACAATAGATACCCTCTTTGTTTCAAAATATATATCGTTTAGACTTATATACATACCCAAATGTACACTATTTGAAACGGATGGAGTAGTATTAATGATAAACTCTCACATGCCCGTCCCAATACAAACTATAGCTAGAATATATGGTACTTGGTACATGACACAGTCCTTTGCATGTTATGCACCTTTAGGTCTCATTTGGAAAGAGGACAAGTGAATTCAAGCCAAAACCATGTCATTCCTCTTTTCTACTCCCTAACAATAGATGGACGAAGTGCAAACCATGTAGAAAATATTCTCTCTCCACGAATATTGCTTGGAGCAATCTATCAACAAAGACAAGTCTTTTGAGGGCCTCGTGGGTTAGTCAACCTAAAATAAGTGTCATCCTCCTGACCAACTCGGTTTAAGCCAATTAACTTCAGGAACCCTGGAGTCGCCATCCACGAGCATCATAAGCACAACTCAACAGGATGAATCACAAGGAATATAGATCGTGGTAACCACACATCGATACCAACTTACTCAAAGAATCACATCTAGAAAAGACAATTATAAAAAATCAAGAATTTGTTTAGAAAAGCGAAATAATTTGTAGATCTATAAATTATAAATTCTAACACTACTCAAAAGCTACTCATCTATAACCAGTTGATTTCTTGTAAGGAAATCGAGTGAAGTGCCCACCTTGTCCATGAAAGGACAGTGACACCTAAGAGGGGCGGGGTTGAATTATACGGCAACAATTTGTCAGGCAACTTTGATTTCCTCCTGTTTTTCTGGCTTCACGACATGTTCCAAGTTCAGGATTCTTACTGGCTTCCCTAAGCTCGATTTGTCCTCCAATTTAGCGATTTCGAGTGCCCTTGAGCAGACAGGGAAGCTCATCTTGTCCCATGAATCCAAAATGATGCCTGATCCCAGGCATGAATTTTCACTATAGAACGCTGCAAACTGACCACCTGCTAAGCCCTGGTCATCTTCGGACAGATGCACCACCAAAGCATCCTCATTTTCTTCAGTATGCTCTTTTATCAAAGTGCAATCGTGAAATTCAGGGCTATGTCGCACCTGATGTTGAGAAATTTCATATTAGCACAGGAAGAGAAGGCATAACTTTACACAGGAAAAAACTACAAATCTCAACATATAAAGTTGAAGTCTTGAATGAAACACAACGTGCTTAGTTTTTTTTATATAAGGACTTAAAATTATATTAGGAGAATCTTACATGGATTAGGTATAAGGGGACCCAGGATACATCAGAGAGATGCACTAGAATGTGTGCAGAACTGTTCTGGCTTCTATGGACCTTGAAGACTTTGCATGTTGTTTCTGAAGTATGGTGTTTGAATTCCCCGATAGATGGAAAGAGCCTCCAGTGAGACACTGTCCAGTTCTGCCTCTGATTAAGGAGGGAAACCATCGTCTGGTTGTCTGAGAGGAAATTGATCTCTGATAGTTGTAGTGTGCGCGCCAACTTTCCCGCAAGAGAGGGCTTCAGCTTCTGCCTCAAGGAGACAAGGACTGAGCTGGTCCTCACTCTTGCAGAGATATAAATTGTGTGGGCTTTTGTTTGGAAACATAGCAGTCCCGTTCAATCCATACGTATTGGAAGGAATTGAGGTGGAAAAGTAGTTCACTTTCCACTCCAATCCATATGGATTGGGAGGGATTGAGTTTATCCAAACAATAGCATAAGCGGGAGATGGAGAGCCAAGGACCACTGTGTTGATGTGTTGTTAACACCCTTCCCCTTGTGTGTGCACACACACAAACAAGGCGGGCGGGTGGGGAAATGATCGTATAGGACAGCTATGGGAGGTTGCTGGCCGTTCAGCTGCTGGCTTCCTTCCCGTTGTGACTGGCTATGAAGAACAATCAGCAGGGGATGAGGCAATAGAGAATGGACGTGAGTGTAGATTGATTGTAATTTGCTTGCTTTATTCCCTTGATCATACACTATATATATAGTGATTACAAGCAATTTGTTGTCTTCCTTCCTAAACTCTTGACTGCCAAAAGCAGCAAGCACCGAATCACTCTCCTCTGATCTTGCTGCTAGTGTTTAGGCGCCTGTCTTGGCCCTCTGACGGTGCCTGTAGGTATGTCCTACCATAACATCTCTCCCCTCCTCCAGAAAGAGCTTGTCCTAGAGCTCGAAAGAAGGATACTGCTGCTTGAATGCTGCAACAGGCTCCCAAGTGGCTTTACTGGCTGCCAGGCCGGCGGCCCAGGAGACCAGAATCTGCCATTGGCCCCGTACCAGACGGCTGCGCAGCACAGCGGACGGTGTAGGCATGACGCGGCCGTTGAGCATTGGCGGCAGAGGAGGGGCCTCGGCTGGTGGTGTGCCACGGAAGGCTTTGAGGACGCCGACGTGGAAAACATTGTGAATCCGGGCGCTGGCAGGCAGGCGTACACGGTACGCGACGTCGCCGATCCGTTCTAGGATCTGGTAAAGCCCGTAGAAGCGTGGTGCCAGCTTCCCCTTGGATGCCGCCGGAAGGGATGCAGATGGGCGGTAAAGGAGCTTGACCCGCACCCAGGCGCTCACCTCAAACTCCAGAGGAGTGTGCTTGGCGTCGTAGTACAGCTTGGCGTGATCCTGAGCTTGGAGAAGGCATTCGCGCGCAGCCAGCAGGAAGTCGTCGCGGTCCTGAAGGAGTGGGTCGACGGCGGGGGCACGAGCATTGCCCGGTTCATACGCCTTCATGGACGGCGGATCCCGGCCATAGACCAGCTTGAACGGAGTAGTGCCGAGCGACGAAAGGAAGGCCATGTTGAAGCAGTACTCTGCCCATGGCAGCCACAACAGCCACTCTTGGGGCGGTCACTGATCAAGCACCGGAGATACATCACAATCACCTTGTTAGCTACCTCAGATTGGCCATCCGATTGGGGATGAAACGCCAAGCTCATCTGCAGCTTAATCCCGGAAAGGCGAAAGAGCTCCCGAGTCCCGCCAGAGGGTGCTCGTGAATACTTATAGAATACTGGGTCGTGGTCACGGACGATGGAGGCAGGGACACTGTGCAGCCACACAATTTCGTCGAAGAAGGCGCGCACCACCATGATAGCCGTGTAGGAGTGGCCGAGGGGGATGAAATGTGCTGCCTTGGAGAGCCGATCCACCACCGTGAGGATCACCGTCTTGTTGTTCACGTGAGGCAAGCCTTCGACGAATTCCATGGCGACGTCGCTCCAGATCATAAGCGGAACAGGCAGGGGCTGAAGCAGGCCGGCAGGGTGCAGATGGACAGTTTTGTTGTGCTGGCACACCCCACAATTGCCTGCACCAACGCCTTGTCGCCGGGAACATGGAAGTCAGCGCGGAGGCGGGTGGAGGGTGCGCTGGATGCCTCTGTGGCCGGTGCTAGGGGTTGTGTAGGGGTTTTCTAGTTGGGTCATGCTATTGTTTTAGTGTAGGTGTTTAGCTTATATGTTTTCTCTTGCAACAACTTCTTACTTCCTAGATAAGGTAAGATGGTTGCCTCATATGGGTTTCCTTTCCCCCTTAAACCTGGGATATCAATGTTTCGATCAATCAAAATTGATCAGTCAACTAGAACTCTTATCAGCATATTGAAGCCATATTTATGCCAAACCACTGTTGTAGCTTGTAAATAGCAGATGGTCATAACAGAATGATACCAAATAGGAAAGGCTAATAACCAAGTATCATAGTGCCCTTGAGGCTACTGTATGTAGTACCCTGTTACCTTGCATTTAAGTTGCTCGTTGTTTCCAGGTCCAGAATTGTCAAACCAATTTAGTGATCCAACACGAAATGTGCGCCTCCGCTTATCCAATGAATAGTAATTCCTTGATACAAAAACCACATTGTTTTGAACATCTTTCTCTACAACGTACCTGCACGAGATATGAAAGGCCTTTATAGTCAGATGAGTTTCAGGACGAATAAAGCATACATATTTATATGATGAAGGAAAAACTTTGCCCCACTGCAAGAGCAAACAGTAGGGCGAAACAATGATAATCACTGGACAAGAGATTGTAGAGAATGCATCAAAAGACGGTACATACCAAGGTCCTCCAGGAAGCCGTAATCCTTGCCGCTGACCTATTGTATAGAACCAAAACCCACGGTGTTTCCCTAGGTAATCTCCAGACTCGGCTTCCAGTATGATTCCTTCCATTTCTCCTATATGTCTTTCAACAAACTCACTAAACTTGACCTAGAAAGAGATACTTGTATAGCTCCACAATGATATGATTTGTTAAAAACATTGATCCCTAAGAAAAAAGGTACAGTGTATACCTTTCCAAGAAAGCATATCCCTTGTGAGTCCTTCCTACCTTGGTTAGGAAGGCCCATTTGAGTAGCCAGTCTGCGAACCTCGTCCTGCATGATACAGGACAAAATTTAGTAAAGTCAACTTGTGGCGTTCAGCCTATGAAATACTAGCTATGTTTGCTGAAAATCAACCAAACCTTCGTAATACATCCTAGTGGGAAAAGAAGCCTTCTAAGCTGAGATTGAGATAGATGTGAGAGGAAATAGGTTTGATCTTTGACCTGGAATAGCAATTAAACAACAGAAAAGGTGATTTATATGACAGTACCAAAGCAAATTAGTAATTCAACTATGTAACTATTTCTAATCTGAATTCCCGATTAGTTTGAAGAAGGAAAAGGTAAACTTGTACTGTCGATGACTCTGTAGAAATAAAATGATCTATCTGAGAGGGAATGTGCAAAGTACCTTGTCCTTTGATAATTGCAGTACAGATGGCGCTTCAGTATTTTCAGCGGAAGGATGTACTACGTGTGCATAATGTCCTGAAGCTATGTAATCAAATCCCAAATTTTCAATAGCTTCTAAGAAAGCCCCTGCCCAAACAGAAATAAGCAAGACATCATAGTTAGAAAACTGCACCTCAATACAAATTTGGATTTCCATAGTAGAACATATCGCCATCCAAATACAAACTTCATACCAAACTTTATTCTCGTGTTGCACAGAACATCAGGATTTGGTGTACGACCGCAGCGATACTCATTGATCATATGTGACACCTAGATATCAAATTCACAGCATTTGCTTCTTAAAACAAAGGCCCTGAAGAGTGTTGTGTACAAATCTATGGGGAAAAAAAGGCTCAAATGAAGCTTACTCACCACATGGTTCCAGTATTCATCGGATAGATGTACCACCTCCAATGGCACATCAATCTACAAAACCAAACATGAGACATCATCAGGCCCTCAAGTCGGTCCATGTAACCAAAATCAGTCCACGTACATATGCTGAAGACTAGCTATTCAATGACTTGCCATGTTCCATCAGAAATTTGAACTACACCTTGTCACAAACAGCTTGTGCATACTTTAAATCCTCGTCCCATGGGCACTCGGACCAAAAGTTCCTGAAATCTTCCTACAAATTATAGGAGCAAGTTTACGAGCCATCCTGCAATACAGCATTCCAGGAGCAGATTAATGGTAAACAGGTGATTTTTCCTGAACCGCATACCTGGAACCAAATCTTCAGGTAGAACGCGGTGCAGTGATGGCCGGCGGCGTGGAGGAGGCGGAGCGCGACGCTGCTGTCCACCCCGCCGCTCACCAGCACCGCCACCCGCAACGGCGCCCTGCCCGCCGCCGCGCACCGCGTAAGGTGCTCCTCAAACGCAACCACCTCGCTAGCGGCGGCGGCGGGCGACGCGGAGGACGAGAGCGCGCGGAACGGCCACGGCTGAAGGCGCGAGCGGAGCAGGGGTTTATGGTTTAGCAGAGGCCCACGCCGGAGGAGCGGGCGGAGGGCGGGGAGGGTGGAGACGACGACGCGCAGCATAGATGGGGAGCGCCTCGAGCTCTCGCCGGCTCGCGCAAGGGAGGAACGCGCGCAGAGACGGCCCGCCGGCGGCTCGCGCGGAGGGGAGGGGCGGCTCGAGCAGACGGGGACGCAAGCTGAGGAAGGGGCAGACTCGCCTGTAGACGGGAGGAGCGGAGGGTCGAGCAGCGGGCGGCGCCGGCGTGTGTTTCTTTTTTTAACAGCGCCGGCGTGTTGGTTGAGAGGGAGCGAGGGTGCCGATTATCCAAATCGCGACCTTGGAGCTGCGATTTCACCGTAGGCCAAACCTGAGCGTTTTCGCGGACGTGCAATTATAGTAAGCGGCGCGACGCAACCCGTCGGGCGGGATCATCGGCTTCTGCCGGTCGCAGACGCACTAGGCGGAAACAAACAGGGCGATGTACTCTTCTTCGGGCCTTCGGGGACAGTCGAGCGTTTCAGACTCCAGCGATTCAAAGTTCAGACTTCAGAGGAGGAGACAGTCGCAGAAAGCGTATTCAGCGGTGTCTCAGAGGCCCTGTTCGGCTGATAAGGGGCGAAGCAAGAATAAATGGTCACCGGGGTGAGAGTCGGTATTCAACTACTCATATGGTATATGAGTAGTTTGTGGGTTGCAACAATATAATACACTAATCGATTATTTAGGCTTCAACAATTTGTCACATCTTTTCGTAGATGTTATGAAAACTATTATCCTTATTGCCTACATGGTCTCTAAGCCTATCAGATATTCCATCCATCTACTATAAATACATCATTCCCACCTTGTCCCTTAACAATCTCTGAACAAGTAACAATATAAACAAAAACATCTATCCACGTTTTCACTATACTCTAGATCATTATACTCTAGGCAATCATATTTAGTGAACTATTCATGTTAAAGTATCTTCATCATTATTCTCATTATCACCTGTTGCGGGTAATTTTCTTTTAAAGAAACTTTTCAACGAGCTTTGATTACCTATGAAATTAGTCACATAATAAAAATTAAAGCGGATAGATACTAAATTACTAATGTGCAAGTAGCCTACTATTAAAAATCACTAGTGATTATTAAAATGCAACTATGCAAGCTATACTAAAGTAGATAGGTACATGACATTTCGCGGGAATGAAAGAGCACACTCTTTAGTGGAAAGCCTTAATACCTCATATTTCGGACTAGATTGTTTTAATTAGCAATTGCAGAATAGGGTATTTGGGTACCTGGACAGACAGACAGAAGATGGGTAGAGAGTTTATCGCCACCGGCCACCAGCAAGTCGTCACTGTGATTTACGCCTAGCGTCTTTGAGACGCGAGATAGAGAACGAACGAGTGGCAGCTGGGCGCTGGGCACCGGCGCCGCTTGCCAAATGCTATAACAATGGAGATCGGAAGATGAAACGACGACTACTCAGTCCATGGCTCCAGTCAGAAGCGGAGGTCGAGAGGCAACGTTTGGCCTACAGGTTCTTTGCTGTCAGACATGATCTGGTTGCAATTTACATTCACGTGATGTAATCATGTTCCAAGTCTAGGAAGCAAAAGATGGGCCGAACTGCTGGGCTGCCAACTCGTTAGGGTCAAACATATTTTCTACTGGGGTCCAACGTGGTGAAAATCACTGGCTATAATAGGCTACGGCAAAGTCGTCGGTGTCGGACGACCCCGATGCCTTCACGTAGCTTCGCCCCTGCGGCTGATGGTTTTACAACTGATAAGTCGGGCTGATAGTGTTTTGTTTTGTGAGAGAAAACACTATATCATGACCTTTGTAGGAGCACAAACGAAAAAATCAAAATCAATCTTAGGACACCTATGGTAAAAGTCAGACAACGACTCCCGCTCTAATAGAAGATGTTCTTTATTCGTTCATGTATTCACTTTACTATAAAAAAATAACTCTTCTTCTCCCACTAGTTCAAATATTTTTGCGCTAATACTCTGGTGCGGGCGTCTATCCGAATGGCCCGTTCCCGTTCCCGAGCTAGCACAGCGACCGGGCCCAATAGGCCCATCTGCGTTCTCTCTCCTTTATCTACTCCATCTACATTGCGACGGCGATAGAAATCCCCAACTCCTCGCTTCACTCGTCCCGACTCACCGCGCCGTCCGTCCGCCCCAAAGCCGCCTCGCGGTGGCACCCCCATCCTACGCGTCGTGCTCCATCCCCGCCGCGATCGCTCCGCCTCGTCGCGCCGTGCCCGGTCCCCGCCCTTGCGCGTTGTGCCCCGTTCCTCGGCGGATCGAGGTGCTTGACGCCACCGTTCCCCACTAGGAGGTCGTGGCCGCTGTCGGCGCCGTTGCGACGCTCGACCTCAGGTCGCGACATCACGAGATCTGGAGTGGCTAGACCAGGAGCGGGCTTCTCTGGCTGCACCTCGCGCTCCCTTCTTTCCTAAGATGTTGCAAGCGTATATTTCATGTGTTTCTGATGTTTCAGAGTTATGTTGCGAGTGTTTTATATGAATGTTGCAAAAGTGGATCGGGATGTTGCATATGTTGCAATGGGTGTACACATATGTTGCAAATATCTGTTTCCAATGTTTCATTTGTTTTTCAGACGCATGTTGCAAGTGTGTTTATCTAGATGTTGCATATGTGTTCACACATATGTTGCAAGTATTTTATCTAGATGTTGTGTATGTTTTGCAATGGTTTTCAAGTGTCTTTCAGGTGTTTTTGCGTGTATTGCAGACGTATGTTTCTAGTGTTTCATCTGCCTTCAGACGTATGTTTCAAATGCTGCATCTGGATGTTTCAAAAGTAGATTGGGTGTTTTGCGCATGTTGCAACCTGTTGCAATCGCTTGAGAGCACGAGGGGTCGTGCCGTCGTGCGGGGCGCAGCCGCTGCGCGGGGTCAGATGGGGCCCAAATGCCGTGTGGAGTCAGGCCATACGCGAAGTGCAGTTGCGGGCGTACAGACGGGTCCTCAACTTTTTTTTTCTTGGTCAATTCGGGGAGTTACCACCTACTTATATTGAATCGAAGGGGCTAAAAGCTCAAACAAATATAGCATACTTCCGGGCATACCAGAAGCTGTACACAGAGCAAATACAGCATACTTCCGGCATACCAAAAGGTGTACACAAAGCAGAGAGGGACATGGGCGGATCCACAGTTGTGCCTAGGTATTCCCAGGCATACCCAACATTTTTGGAAAAAATTTAGTAGTTTGTAGAAGTATATACATGTATTATATAGTTAAGGCTCAAATTGCTATTCTTTGCTATATTTTGGCTCTGATTCGTGTCAAACACAGAGAAGTCCACAGGCCACACCCGACCGGACGGCCCAATGGCCCATCTGGCCTTCCCAATCCCCAATCCCCATCCTCTTTCTTGACGAAAAATTCCCTAATTCCTCTTCGTGGAATCGCACTACGCCGCAGCTAGTCCGCTCGTGCCGGCCGCACTGAACATCGCCGACGCTAGCCTCCAAACCGCCGCCCGCTCGCCGCTGACCGCCCGACCCGCCTCCCACTCGTTGTTCGTCCTAGGGCTTGGCGTGACCACGCGACCCGCGCGCAGGTGGCGCAGCGCGCTCGGGCTCGACGACTGCGCGGCCCACGCGGCACCAACTGCTCAAGTCCTTTGCTGCGACCTCGATTTGATTTCTTGGCTATGGGCATAACCTACTTTGCTGGGTCGCCACTGAGAGGGGAGGGGTTGGAGAGACAGAGCAGAGAGAGGAAATGAAGAGTCGTCACAGCAGCCCAGGCCACAGGCAACTTGGCATCAAAAATCAAGAAAATGACGCTACCTATTGGAGACAAGCCGGATTGTCGTTATGGATTTGGTAAGGCGACCACACAAGTGAGAGAAAAAAAAATGTATTGCTATAGAACTAAACGATGTCAGGATTGCAATATAGACAGCACTATAGTACAAATGTTTCTATCTAGGCTAAACTATATGAGTTTACATTGTGATCGGTATCGAGTAGGATGATATGGGTTGTAGGATCACTATAATACGACACAATGAGTTTCAAGCATGTGTGTCGGTTGGATTTGATCATGCTAGAAAACGAAAAAAAAATCCCCATCTCTGGTTAGGCCAATGGAGGCTTTGTGAACTCCCACGAAGAGCAATTGGTCATTCTCTCCTTCACATTCTCTTGTATTTAGATCTTTCATTTGTGTAGCCTAGCTGTTTGATGTACAAAATTTGTATGTATAGAGCTAAATGTGTTTCGAAGCGATTGCAAGTGCTGATTGTACACTTCACTTCACCAAAGACGTTTTGTGAAGTCTTGAAGACATCTAGAGTTTGGACATGTTGCGTTAGCGGTGAGTTTTGTCACTCAATTATTAGCTTTATATTCTCTGGCTGAAACATAGATCGACTATTTTATTTTCTAGATTTTTAGATCTTTCTTTGAGACCATGTTCATTTTCTTTAGGAACTTCGTACAAAGAGGAAATGTCGACATGAAGAGAATGTAATGTAGCTGCTACAATTATTACTAACACGATCACACAAGCAGAGATAGATGGAAAAAAATACAGCTTGAAATAAATTTGAGTTTGGTTGGGAGTTGCATGCACATTGCACAATAACAATTGTATCACTTTCCTTCCATATTATTCTGAGAATTATATCGAATCCAAAAGAAACATGTGGATTGTGACGTTTAGCTCTAACTAGGTATTATCTAAAACCCTTTTCTAAATATTGCACAACTTCAGAAATTATAGCGTGAACTGCAGCACTCTGGAGGCATCTGAAGTCATAGATGCTAACCTGCTCTCTGCCATCATAGCATCACCTGGGAGTAGAAGAGGAAATATAACACTCAAGATGTAAAGTTGCGAAATTTTCATTGTCATATTGGGCATCCACAGGCACATAGTTCAGCAGGATTTTAAGGCGAGTTCATCGCTTTTCAACCCATCACAAATCTACCAACATTGGAACAGCATGGCGAGGCAGATTAGCCTTGGGCAGCATCTAAGAGGCAGGAAAAGCTTTCGCCAGGGAGGCAGGGATCGCAACCACCATTCCTCTTTATGAACTTAGAAGACCAGCGTTTGTGGCATGTTGAAAAGAGCACGAATAGTCTCACTGGCGACATCCAACAGCTGTAGATACTCATCTGCCCCATCAACCAAGCACTGTAAAATCATCCAAAAGGGGAAAGGTGAGAAATGTAACATTACAGATACTATAGAAGTTTCAGTATGTGATACATCTGTGGATACAGTTTCAGAGACTTGCTACAAGATAAAAACATGCAACTCTAGTATGGCAGGCTTCAACATCATATTATTTCTGAACAAGTCATGTGGAAGAAAAAAGTTCTAGGTTTCCCTTTAGACGAGTACAAGTCATGGGAAACAAGAAAAGGATGAACATGAGAACTGTAGTACTGTAATTTTAGTTGGACAAACCTTATCAGTTTCCCCAAGCTTTTTACATATCCTTGCCTTTTGATCATCTTGAATATCATCCGCGCTAACAATCACATCTAGAAACTGCACAAGTACTTCAGTTAGCAGCAGTGACAGATGAAATCAACAGGAATAGTAATTAACTGGAGTATGGCATCATGAAACAAAATAAACAGATGACCTGTGCCATCAGCTGTGAGACTGGATATCCATCTGCTATAATGTTGCTAACTTCCTTGTTCGCCACGTCAAATTCACCAGATTTGCAGGCTGCAAGCAGTGACTTGACAACATCTTCAGGGATAACCTGACACAGGGAGACAAACATGATGAATGGACGAGTTTGATTTCCCTTTGTTCAGGTCACCAATTACTTGCATGGTAAAATTTCTCATGATATAAGATATTTTTCCAAGGAAAAGCACAATTAATTTCCTTTAAGCATAAACAATTTTATTGCTATGTGTGTAAAACTTCGTTGAAGGCTAGAACTACACTAAGTTCTGGGGGAACAACATCATCAAGCATGAATAAACTTTTTATAACAATATAACCTCAAGCATAAAGCAAAAAGTAATAATTAATTCATCATCACACTATACAGGAACTAGTAAATTCGTACTATGTGATAAATTAGCATATTCACAAACAAAAGAGGAGAAAAGTGAATGGCGCTGTACCCCTGAAACACTGATCAAGTCACTGGAAGAGAGAGAAGATCCAAATAAGCGAGCTGCACTCTGCAACAAACCAAAAGTATATGGAACTACGATCAGCTGAGCACAGCTTAATGCCAAATAGTAGATTTGGAGAAAATTCATACCTGAAGATAGGTTATAGCACGACGAAGATCACCTTGAGAAATGGCACTCAGTGTGGACAACGCCTAATTAGAGAATTCAAAGCATCTCAACCAAGTAATTATTAAATGAAAGAACGCTCCAAACAATTGACCAGATATTATCATAATAATGTATGATGCATATAAACATCATCTGATTCATCACGAATAAGGCTAATTTAAATACCTGAGCATCAAGATTAAGACCTTCTTCATTGCATATATACATAATGCGGCTGCTCATCACTTCTTCTGAAAGAGGCTTGAACCTAAACTTGGCACATCTCGATGCAAGTGGTTCTATTATCCTGTAACATTAACAATCATGAATCACAAAAATTCAATATTTATACCATAGAAAAATAATAAGATCACGTTGACAAAATACCTGCTGATATAGTTGCATATAAAAAAGAATCTGGTCACTTTGGAGTAAGTCTCCATGGTACGCCTCAAAGCATTCTACAGAAGGATATAAAATATCAACTTAACATATGTATTAGGTTTGAAGCATTTATTACATATAGAAGAATGCTGTGTGACAATATACCTGGGCATCTTCTGTCATTGAATCTGCTTCATCAAGTATAATAATCTTGTAAGGTGGGCAGGGATAACCACTGAAGTCCATCACAACAAGAAAACTTGTAAGGAATACAAAAATCGGATGGAATTGAAAAGCTTTCTAATTTTGATGAGCTTACGCTTTCCGTGCAGTACCAACAGCAACAGCAGCAAAGTCCTTGATTTTCGTCCTCACCACATTAATTCCACGATCATCACTAGCATTGAGCTCCAAAACTCTCGACTTATACAGCTCTGGACTGAAACATCCAAAGAGGAGAAGAAAACTGAGTCCCCAAACCAACTGAGAGTAATGTTGTGTTTTTTTTTTCAAAACAAGACAGTTTCTAATGTCATTTCCACACTTACTAGCATGGATATGCAAATTTCATGAATAAATTTGAGGAATTAACCATCACAACCACATGCATAAAACAGATAACAGAGGCAACGCTGGTTGTCTGACAGTCATTCTCAATAAGTTAAAAACAATTGTGAGTCGAAGAGGAAATCATACTCTGCTACTTTTGTATTAGTCAGAGTTCCTCTAACAGGACCTCCAGCAAATTAATCATTCTCAATAAGTTAAAAACAATAGTTTTATTTTGCTGCTGTTCTGTTGCATCAAAAAGGTAACTTGACTATGTATCATTCGACTCAGTGATAAGCACCAACATATACATGGGTTACAGATTGTACAAACAGACATGCCAATCTTCGCCCCAAAAAAACAATATTATAAATTTCGAATATTTTGATGGTCCATCCTTGATGGAAATAATCAACCTTCCAAAAAAAATTCTCACACATATGTAGAACCTCTAACAGGACCTCCAGCAAATTAATCATTCAAGCTAAATAATGCCTATGGAACCTTAGAATGGGCTGAAAATGCAAGTAAATTAGGGATCTCCACAACCGTTGCTGTTCTTTTTGACCATTTTAAAAGAAAAAAAGAGTATTTTGTGGCATTGAAGGATATATAATCGTCAGTAATATCAAAGGATCAACTATAGCAAGCTGCACTCGCCATCAATTGCTCCATTGCAGTAGCAACTACTCACGCTGGCAAGTCTCAGGCAATCCAAGATTACATAGCACACTACTCATGCTAGCACAACCAAATTAAGAAATCGTACACTAAAAGACAGGGTCCAGCACGAGGGTATACCCGTAGAGCTGGTAGGCAATGGCGAGTGCCGTGGTGGTCTTTCCCGTCCCCGGCGGGCCGTAGAACAGCATGTGCGGCAGCTGCAAGCGACCAAACAGCAAATAAGAAAATCTCCAAGGGGGTTCCGCGAATAAAAAGAAGAAATTTTGTGGGGGCCGAAGAGGGATTAGGGTTTAGCGCTTCCTCACGTCGGCGGTCTGGAGGGTGTTGGTGAGCACCCGAATCACCTCCTCCTGGTGAGCCACATCCTTGACCTGCCTCGGCCGGCTGCAACCCCAGCAAGAACAGGCGCGATTAGAGAGAACCGCCAGTGCTCCATTCCAAATTCCGGGGGGAAATTGTGGGGGAAGAGAGGGAGGGGTGCGGGCTTACTATTTCTCCACCCATGGCTGCGACATCGGCACGAGCGGCGCCATGGTGGCGAGTGGGCGGGTTGCTCCTGCGTTTTCGCGCGCTGCGATTTTCGGGTCTCCTCTTTCCACAAGGCGCTGGGACTCGGGTTCACCTCGCTTGCCTCCACCACCGGCGCCTTCGAGGATGTGCTCCCGTCGTTTCCCTAAGCAGCGGCGACCATAGTCCAAAAAAAAAACAGCGGTGACCACAGATTTGGTCGATAGGGCCGTCATTTGGCCAAAGAAACCTTGATTCGGTTGAGTAATGTTGGGGAAATTTTGATTTGTGGATAGAAGAAAGTGAAGGGGAGAACGATTTTGTTAGGTTTGTATAAACTAGATCTATAACGTAGGTGATAAAGACCATGAAACAAGCTATATCTTTTCTATATAACTAGATAAATACCCATGCGTTGCACCCGAATCATAATTTTTTGTGGCCTATGGCTGCCACGAGTAACTTGCGGCATACACGAATATATACTGAGAAAAGTTCTACAAATTTAAATACATAGTAAATTTAAGTTTGTTTCATGATCTCTATTACCTATATATTACAAGTTTAATCAAATAATAAAAAGCTAATAAATGATTTTGCATTGGATTTCCGTAAAAAAAATAGGACACGCAAAGCCGGGGTGTGGGACCAACTATTAAGAACATACTCTATAGCAAGACGACGGACGTGTGCCAGCACGACTCACACGATGGGGCATAACATCCCTCGCTGTTCGCTCCCGACGATGGCCAGCCATCAGATAGACGACGCCGTGCACCCGGGACAGCTGAGTCGCCGCGCGGGGAGAAGCACTATGGGGGCCTGCGCGACGCCGGTTTTCACCTCAGTGACCTGGCTAGGATCACCACCCATCGGGCGAGCTCTAGCTGCGAGTGAGTGTGTGACCAAGCAATGGGACGTCGTGCCGGTGTCTAGCTATCAAGGTGCCGCTGCCGCCGGATGCATGGCATGCACTCGCGCGTGCCCATCCGGGCAACTTTGCATTGTTTTTGATTTGTTGGGTTACCTGGCTCGTGCTGCTCTCGGTCTTGATCGGCACCGTCGCTACTGTCGTCATGGCCGGGGCTAGTTATTAGCTGCCGTAGTTATATACCTATAGCGTGTACAGATAGGATCGCGATCAGTGTCCGTGCCGCAAAGTCTGGTCGAGTCAGACTCCTTTTACGGTTGGATTTGTGGTGCGGAGGAACGGTAGCCGGATAGGTCAGATATATTTTTTTAGTCTGATAGGATGGTATACGTTTTTAGTGTCACTAAATAGATGATTACTTTACTGTGTAGAGATTATATTATAGATTTCTTAATAGATTAGACTAGATACATGTCTGTGCCTTGCATCAGGAGCATGATTTTTTGACTAAACCTTATGCGAACGCGTGAGCTCTATGGACACGTGGATTTACGATCATTATTATTTACCTTCATTGATGAGGCTTGTTAAGTCTCTGAATAGAGTGCAACAATTCCGATTTGATTTAAAAAAAACTATTTCGATCTGATTTTCAATATAGGTTCCATGTAGCACTCTAGTCTCTTTAATAATAGATCAACTTCACAGTGATCTGTAATTTTTTAGGCGCAACTTGATGATGTGTCTTTTGATTTGTACAACAGCATCTACCACTGTTGTTTGCGTATGTATCAGGTCTGAACTCTAGATTGCTAATTAAACCAAGCATGATATGTACCCATTTGGTCTCCAAATTACATCGGTGTATAGTAACACGATCTGCCGTGAGGTTCACAAGCTAACGTCCACAATATTAGACGTTCACAAGCTAACGTCCAGAATATTATACAGTAACACACAAGTTAATGTCCACAATCTATGTTTCATACGGAGTCAAATTATTTATTTATAAGCTTGAATAGTAGTATATAAAAAGATACTCACATCTATAACACAAAAAACTAAAAAGTAGAGGAAGACATGGAGGATTCCAGGAAAATAATAACGATACAATAATTTACTCACATATGGTCCCCTGTATTAACAGGCTCCCAAATGTTTTTTTTAAGCACTCAGCGATTATTCAGAGAGAGAAAAAACATAACATACCTGATCCTTTTGAATTAAAGGTGAGGACATATCACACTAATGTGTCGAGTGCTCCTTTAATTAGATTTAGAAGGGACCGGTAGTCTCTACACCTAATATATGGGATAGTATGCAAGCTAGCATAGCTAACTATCATTTGAGTTTGCGCAATTCATCAACAATGCATCTATGCAGTTCGCAGTCTGAACATTACTGTGGAGTAATTTGTGGATGTACAAGTAACTACAAATTAGTTAATCAAGGTATTGGAAAAAAGGAAAGAAAAGAGAACCTGATCGAGTCTCTCTCGAGCTGCTGTGCGATGATGCTCAATGTGCTCACAGACGTCTCGGTGTGCCAGTGTAACGGCTCAGGCTGAGAAGACGGCTAAGATCCATTCTACACGTTGAATAGACAATACCTATTAATTAACTTTTTGCACTTTCGTCCTCGCTTCAAACAAAAAAAATCAAACGGGAGTTAATTCTCTCCCAGAGCTTAGGCTTTTAAGTTGTTCATTTTCCCCTCAACTTCCGGTATGGGACCAAAGTCCCATAGCTACAGTGTCCCGTAGCTACAGTACTGGCAATGAGAGCTAGGTACTTGGTCGTTTGGCCCAGCTCATCAGACCGGCCAATTTAGCGGGGTCTCACATACATCCACTCTTAAGGACTCGACGTCCTCGTCGAGGGTCGAATCAACCTACCTAAACGGGACAAATGTCCAGGATCGACTCTCTTGGCTCATGTCCATATTTCCAGCTCCCCGGCCTAAGTGTTATGCTCTTGCAGAGTCATGCGCACAACCTGTCCGAGCTCCCGAGCCATATGTCCATGAAACTACGAGAGTTGGCTCTGATACCATTTGTAACACCCCAGCCCGAGAAGACGACTAAGATCCACTCTACACATTGAATGGACCACACCTGCTAATTAACTCTCTTGCGCTTTCGTCCTCGCTTCGCGCAAAAGGTTCGAACCGAAGTTAATTATCTCCCAGTAACCGGCAACTAGAGCTACATCACTCGATCGTTTGGCTCAGCCCATCAGATCAGCCCATTTAGCGGGGTCTCGCACCAAGGCCGAGTTCCTGTCCGATGATGCTCGACTTGCTCCTCAACGTCACGGCGCGCTAAGGCCGTGGAGTTAGGTGTTGTCCGCGTGTTCATGGAACTCCCTCCCGATGTTGTTGTCCGCCGCGTCGCCGAGCGCTCGCTCCTCCTGCTCAAGCGCCTGCAAGTGCCCAGAGGGCTGGTTCGTCTTCACGGAGCACACGCTGGCGGTGTCGGCCGTGTCATGGTCCCGGTTTTTAGGTGTGTAGACAGCCAAGTTGGAGACGTGGGTGGTGGTAGAAGGATCTCGTTCCTGACGCGGACTCTGCTTCCGTTTCGCTGTCACCATGGCATTCTTCCATCTTCCAGCATTCTCCATGGGGCTTCCGATCTGCTTGGGAGGAGGTGCGCCCGCAACGCACAGCGCCGCCACGCTCGGACCCTCGCTGTCCCCCGCCCTTGTGCCGCATGACGCGGACTCCGAACGACGCGACTCCGCAGCGCGTTGAAATGGGGCGACGGATAGAGAATTGTCTTTCCACACGCAAGCAGTGCTTGTACGTATACGTGTTGCAACTGGCCATGAAGACGTAGAGAATTGCCTTTCCAATATGCAAGTGCGTACGTATTCCCACCGGCTCGTGTCACGTACGTCGGACGCGATCTCAAGAGCGGTGCAAGGGCAGGAACGGGGCCACGGAGCAAGCGGAGCAGACGATTCCCTTAGAAATTTTTTTAGGTGTAGAGAAAATAATTATAATTTATACACAGATTAATTAAGTTAATATAGTTATATATGAAATATATTTGTATACTACTATTGACATATAGGGGTAGATAATAGATTTTTATGAGGGCTGTCCACCTATAGTTCGGTTGTTTTAATGACATACCACAACCGAGCGTTGACAAGCTAAAAAAACAACCGACAACAACAAAACAAAAAACCGAGTGTTTTAACCAGCTTGCACACATGATTTTCAAACTGTACGATGCAAATCTAACGGACATTCTTTTTTAGCCAACCCCTTTTTCAGTTAACCTCGCACGCGCGTCAGTTTCCTGCACTCTGCAGCACGGTGTATGTTTTGATGCGTGCATAATTTAAACGTATAACTTACGTGATAAAGTTATGCGTATAACTTATATAACTTATTACGCGACAAAGTTAGATGGCATGCATGTGAAAGTTAGATTTATAAATTAGATGAGCAAATTTATATGTACAAGTAAACGTTGATAATTTATATTATAGTAACTTGTTTATATAACTGCGTTTCAAAAAAAAACTTATTTATATAACTTATAAGTTAGATAAATAAATTTATATGTATAAGTCAACATTGAAAACTTATATTATAATAACTTGTTTGTATAACTTAGATATATAACCTGATTAATGACTAATATGTAAAGTTGGAGGTGTAAGTTATATTCAAAAACTTAGATGTACAAATTAATATCATAACATATTAGTAGAAATATGAATATATGAAAATAAGTATGTAGTTTAACTTATAAATATATAACAAAAAAGGGAGAAAAATGGTAGACAGAAAAAAGGAAGGAAAAAAAAGAAACGTTCGTACACGTGCAGCCACTTCACGGAACGAATCCGACTAGTTACGTTCGTATATGTGCTGAAATGGAATTGGCCGGCTTCTACACTCCTATGTGGCTTGCCACGTCTCCCTGCTTTCCAGCGTAAAGACAACAGAACAATAAACGAATCGGATAGCCTTCAGATCCCCACGCACCGTAACACAACCAACGATACATCAGACGGTGGATTCGAGCAAACAAAATAACCGGTTGATTATTAGCTTTCCCCTACTTATGCGCGGCATTTCTGCTATGGGAGAGCGGGCGAAGAGCATCCAATAAGCTCTCAGTAAAAATATGGCATGAGGATCTATAAAATCAATTTTTATTTCTCACCTCATAAATTTAAGATAGGTTTATATTTGAAATTTGGAAAGTTGTGGAACATCAAAATTTTCAAGCTAAATAACCTAGTTCATTAAATAGATTCCAATTCTTGCAAAATGAAATGATCCAAAGTTCCAAACTGCCCCTTAGGTATAGTAGATTTGCTGCATGTGTGGTTTACTTGGGCAAAAGTATAT